CCAGACTATTTCACCGCCACCCCCAAACTGACCCATATATAAAGTCCTGTTACACTTTGTCTGTCTAAAGAAATAAAAACCGTGGGGACAAAGTGCTACTTTAGAGCTTTACAGTCCATACTGATGATGAAAGAACAATAGGACCTCACATACATGCACATGTAGCTGTAAATGTAGCTGGTTGTCCTGTGATCACATTATACTGCACTCAGCACTGCAGCATCAGTCTACTACACAGAAAAAGAATCAGAGGCATTAGTGTTGCTTAGACAGTCTATATCACTGGATTTGTAATATGATCACGTAACAGATGCATAATCACACACCTCCAGTATGATTTATGGCCGCCGAGGTTTTCATTTCCTATTTTATCTGCATGGTATGGCTGGGTTGAAGGCCTGATCATCTCTCATTTTGAAAGTCATCAATTATCTCCTGTGCAATGAAGTCCTTTGTCGGGTCGTTTCTGGACTGATGTGGACTTCCCTTCCTGTGTCTGTTGTGTCACGAGAGCGCGGCCTTCAGCGGGAACGAAGCGCTATGTCAGGCAGATACGGAGACAAGGGAAGGGAGGGCTGGAAAATAAAGATTTCTGTTTTTCTGACATAAGTCTGCTTCAGTGATGTTGCTCACACCTCATCACAAGGAGTGAATCATTTCTTTAAGCATTACATATGCTCTTATATTGGTGGGACACAAAGGCGGGGGGGTTTAAATTGGAGAGTTTTGCACTGAAAATGAGTCACGGAAGTGTTGCACCAACTAAATCCACACAGATGAGATGGAAATTAAAGTAAATGGAGAAAAGAAACTTAATCAGTCGTGAATTTTGTGTTTAGTGGAGAGGTGACTTGTGTGTGCAGAATTGTTTGTGGGAGTTTTGTGAAGCGTCGGACAGGCCCAGTGGACTGAAAGGCTATTTGGGATGTCTTTTTATTCGTCCAGAGAGAGCCTCCCCGCTGGGCACAGCTCACAGCCTTGTGAGCCGTCTCTGACAGCACGGGCATCCGCACAGAGCAGGGAGAGAAAGGTAAACAAGGCTTTTAAAGGCCTCATTAGACAGAATCCTTGAGCGGAGAAGGAAACGTTTAATCATTCACTCCTGTGAGCTTCTGTTAAAAAAAGGAAAAGGTTTTGACCTCAGTGAAAGAAGTCTAGAAGACGCCTGAACAAAAAGACTTTTCTGTGTTGCTGTGTGATACTTTGATTTTTGTGGGGGCGTGTTAAGGACAAAGTACAACAGAGTTTATGACAAATTGAATAACCATTATGCCCAGTCTATAGTGACTGAATAATGTGACAGAATTGTGGTAGGAACACAGAAAGAAATAAAACGTAAGCTCCCTCTGACTTTAAAGGTCAAACCATTAATCTGCATAGGCCACGACTGCCAATAATTCACTGTTGATCCATTAATAGATGAAACTGAAGAGGTTGCAGTTCCGCTTATTACAGTTCTTAGTCACAACCAAAAGCTCTCGGCAGGTATTTGGCCTCTTTGACCCATAGACATAAAGGTGTTAAAATGTAGATCAAAAGGTAAAACAAAAGGAAACATCACAAGGGATGAAAACACTGCAGAAAAAATAGGTTTCATAGGTTCGTCTTTCGGAACATTGCAAACCTCTGGCGAGGGGTGAATACCCTCTTTCTCACCCCTCTGCCCTCTCAGAGGTTAAAATTCCTTCGACTGCTCTGCGTGCATGTGCGTATTAGTATGCACGCGTGTGCACAGTCACGGTTTCTTACCTCGTGCAGGTGGGTGCAGTAAATATTAGCTTTTCAAATTAACATGGCCACCCTCAGATATTTAAAGGCCGAAATTGAGAGGCTTTCTTTTTTCTCTTGGCAGGCCACTCCAAACCAACAGCAGACAGCATGGTTACATTCAACAAACATTAAGTAACCATTGACTTCAGTCTGTATCTTCTACTGTAATCCAGTTTGGACTTTGGGAAAGGAGGAGCTGAGAAAGGGCGTTGAGTTCACCTTGAATGCAAACAAACAGGAGATATTAGCAGATGCCCGCTGCCATGTATAATACCACTGGGTTATTCCCTGATTGTGGCGCAACACATATAACCTGATGATGAGCTAGATCTGAACATTGTAGACACACAACAGTATATGTTGCAGGGTGGCATGTGTTGTGGGCCTCTCCCTGCCCTGGAGACACACAGACAGACAGACAGAGAGCAGTGATCTTATGGTCAGCTAGCGGCCACAGGCATGCTGAAAATGAGACCTTGAAAACTGTCGAGAGGCAGTGTCACTTTTTCCGAGAGATGTCCATTCAGGAAGCTTCCTCTGCATATTTCAGAATGACAGATGAGCAAGTGTCCTTTAAAACATGTGCAAGCCTCAGATGAGAAAGCAAAGGGATAGAAGTGGCGGCGGAGCCTGAATAGGACGGGGTGCGTGTGTTGAAGTGATGTTATTGAGAGAATGTCCTCCAGGAGTTTGCTTCATTTGACAGTGGATCCGCTAATGTGCTTATTAACATTAAAGAGTGCGGAGGACGGCAGTGCTGTGTTGCAGTTCAGTGTCATATAGTCTAACATTACATCAAGGTTACAGTCGATTATAACAAAAACACAATAGAGAACCCTTAGAATTCACAGGCTATTAAAGCGGACGGCGCTGAATGAAAGGAGCTTTTAGTTTCCATATTCGGCCACTCGTGGATTCCAGCGTTTGGGCCTGTTTTGAGGTTTTGAATTGGCCTCAAAACGCTTCTCAGCTATTGGCTGCTTTTGAGTTGCAGGAGGTGTGTGTACTACGTTGAAAAAGGTGATGTGTTTTAGTGGCACAGATGCATTTTTGATCGGTTTACCCTTGTTTGGATACTGGTTGCCAAGAGAGGTCTCTCATTGAGCCACTCGCTTTAAACCACCATCAGTGACAGAAAGCTTGCAGGTGTGGTAGGACACACTGGGAATTGTCAAGTTTTTTCTTTTTCTTTTTTTTTTCTTTTGGACTTTTGTGTTTGTTTCTTTAGGAGAACGCACTTGGCAGAGGATAGACCAGACTTAACAAGTTTTTCCTGTTATTTTTTTTCATGAAAGTACCAATTAAACTGATGTTAAGTCACTGATATAGAGTTACAGAAGCAAAATTAATTATTTGTGTCATGTCTGTTCGTTTACTCCTCAGTATTTTATCAATACTGCTTAGAGTACAGATAGATGGATGAGAGAGGAGAGGAGAGGAGAGGAGAGGGTTGTCCCAAATCCATGTGACGCTGTGTTTCTCCTCTTTGAGATTTTTTTTTTTTTCCTTCGGCGGCACAATCAGAAAGAGTCATTCATTCGTGTCCAGCTGCCAGCTCGGTCCTCTCGTCCTCTGCTCGCCGCTGACAGGAAATTCTGACCTGTGGTCTCTTTCACCCAGATGTGTTCGGAGAGAAAGATGGAAAACCTTGACGGAGAAATGTGTGCTGGTGTGTGAGCACGTTACGTAGACGATTCTACGTGCGTGTTTGTTTGTGTTTCCTGTGGAGAGTCCTCCTGAACTTAGATCCACCTCTCATTATAGCTTATTACCGTTCCTCCTCCACTTCGTCTACCTCTGCGCCGCAGTCTCGCTCTTGCAATGCCTCCTAATTGTGCGCTGAAATGCTTCTGAAATGTTTTTTTTTTTGTTTTGTTTTTTGGGATACGGTGGCTCAGCGGTGTGGCTTTTACTCTGCCAGCCACTCTGCTTTTTAAATCAGCAGCTCTCATTGCGGAGCTGGACTCTCTCACGTTAATGTAGTTGTTAACAGCTTGTGGTCAGCGGGCGGTTTGTGTGGCTTTGCTGTTTGAGCTGACACGCTCACTGGAGGCAGAGAGAGGCTGTGTGGAAGCTCTGGATCCCAAAACGACCGGGCACAGAGGGACACCGTCCCATTTGTACGTCTATCTTTGTCTGATGGACATATTTTGATTAAAAACTAAGAGCTTGTTCAAATCTTTACGATCTTGACGTCCCAGGTTTGGAAGGTCTTTGTTCTTGAAATCAAATGCACAAAGGCACAAACAGTTGCTGACAAGCAAAAAAAAAAAAAAATTTAAATTGAAAAATTGAAAAGAAAATTGAAATACACGTGAATTGGAAACAACTGATAAATTGTCAAGGAATAAATAAATTCATTTTCAAGGTATACATAAAAGTCTTGTATATTGATTTTTCTGTCTTTTGTTCTCTTGTCTAAAATCCAGTCAAAAACACACCTTCTGAGGCTCCGGTTGCTTCACTGAGGATGAAGGAAGCCCGTCTTTGTGGTCGAAGAGATGTCTTTACTTCTCTCAGATTGTTTCATCTCTCCACCACGGTCATTTTTTAAAAATTAAAATCTGTGTTTTCATATCATTTGTGTCACTTTTTCACTTCTCGTAGTGAGAGTAATAGTGAGAGTAAGAATAACACTCGTAGGAGGGTGTTACTGAGAGTCACCAGTTGCTGTCTAATAAACGTCCTCACCTACACACCTAGATCTGCTTCCGCACTTCTGCGACAGTTCTTTGATAGGTGATGCTGTCTAATGATCTGTGGGCGTTGTAGAAAGTAAGATTACTCTATTAGACTGTTAACTTACACACAGTGTGACACATTCGTCATAGAAATGTATCTGTTGGTAGCTGCTGATATGTATCAAATGTGAATGTATATGAGTGAAGGTTGGCTTTGCTGTAAACACAACAGATGACTGCTGTAAGTGTAACCATAAGTGTGTGTGTTTGTTTGTATGTGTGTGTGTGTGTGTGTGTGTGTGTGTGTGTGTGTGTGTGAACTTGTTTTACTACTAATGCTGGACCCCAAAAGTTTAAATGGCTGTTTGCAGGTTACGACCTGATGTAAGGGTTAGGATTAGAGTTAGGGTAAGGGGCTAAGGAATGCATTATGTGAATGACGGGTTCCTACGAATACAGTAAAACAAGGGTGTGTGTGTGTGTGTGTGTGTGTGAGTTTATGGTTCAGGTCTGTTAAATCCACTCCGTCTGTGTGTCTCGTCTCTGCAGGAGTCGGAAGATCCAGATCCGGAACATTCCCCCTCATCTACAGTGGGAGGTCAGTTGTTTGTCTTTGTATGTGTATGTGTGTGTGTGTGTGTGTGTGTGTGTGTGTGTGTGAGAGTGAGAGAGAGAGAGAGAGAGACAGACGGTGATGCCCAGTTGAACACCACCAGGTAGCACATAAACCAGTTTCCCGACAATGAGTCACCAGCCTTTGTACTGTATTTGTCTTTGGACTGAAGTGTATGTGTGTGTGTTTGTGTGTGTGTTTGTGTGTGTGTGGATGCGGATGTGGATGTGTTTATGTCTGTGTCTGTATCTGTGCTTATATCTACGTCTACGTGTTTGTTACTGTGTGTCAACACAACCTTGCTGGGGTCCAAGCTGTCTTTCTTTCTCATGTATCTCTGGGTTGCTACTGTTCCTGCAGGTCGTCTCCCGCTGCACTTGCTTTTTGTTTCCCTCATAAAACTCCCAAAACTTCAGAGACCATTAAATGAATTAGAAATATCAACCACAGGACCAATCAGTCTCCGTTTATTTGACAAATTATGCAAAGTTGCCAGATAATTCCCCATAACATTTTGATGCAGCCTGCAAATCCAAGTTTCACACCAACTCATTTCACAGAAAACCTGTGCTCGTGTCATGTTCTCGCTGTCACCTGTCCATTTTTTGTCACCTGCTTTGACAGTTCTTTAGTATTTGTTATCTTATAGGGATTAATATTTAATGTTGAAGATACTCACTACTTATCATTAAGTATTTTGACATTGTGGTATTTCTACTTTTACATCAGTAAAGAATCTGAATACATTTTTTCACCACAGCACCTGTCTGGCGTCAGGGCTGTAAAAGTAAATGAAACGTGTGTGTAAACCCTAATTTCACCTATTGTTTATGGATTGATAGATGCATCCTTCAGTGTATTGTATTTCAGTGTCAAAAACCTACAGTGTCACAATATACATGGTCTTTTTTATATATCAGTGTTTGTAGTTTAACAGAGTAACAAAACTGGTCTAAAACAGTTACTAAGTGAACAGTTCTATTTACATAAAAAAATCAACCTTTTTTGTTTTTCAGATCACAACTGAAACTATCTCCCAGTTTTACAGCTGTGCTCACTAACATTACTGATGTAAGCAGCCTTTAGCACCATTAGATAAAGATTAGATCATTTAAGTGTAGATGTGTGTGTTGTCCCTGTATTAAAGCATCTGTCAGTCATTTTGGGAAATAGGTTAGTTAGGTTCCAGTTTTGCGCTTTGACCTTTACATTTGGATTCTGCTTTTATAAAAAGCATTTTCCAGAATCTGGTTACTGATATTCTGAAACCCATTAATTTCCTTGGCTGTGAAGTCCTGTGTAAGATTTTACTCCTATCTTGTTTCAAACCAGCGATTCACCAAATCAGGTTGCACCTTTAAAACTTGCAGAATGTGTCAGTTGGTAAGAACTAAATCGGTTGCTAGGAAACATCATGTAATCAACTATGTAAACAGGAAGTCACTGCAGTAACACGAGCTGTAACTTAACTTCAAAAAATAACATTTAGAGGCTGACGATAACTTGCCCGACGGTCCTTTGCAGATGTAGGTACTTTATTTTATTTCATCATATATATGTGGAAAATGTTTATGTTTCAGAAGCAGTAGTTTAGAGTGAGAGGGAAATGTCTGATCATGCATTTTTTTTTGTTTGTGTATGGAGTGTTTTTTTCAATTTAGAGAGATTCAGCTGTTCACCTGCATCCAGCCTTTAACATTAGATAAACATTTCCCAAATCCAGTTTGATATTTAACACTTTTCCCAAAATGCTGAGCTATTCCTTTAACTGTCAAGACAAATTAAGGCAACAACTACCCAGATATTGAAATGATATTAATATGGATATCAAAATGAATAAAAAATTAAGCCTCACTTCAGAGCCGACTGATCGCTACACACTTTATATTTGATGTAGCACATCTTAGATAATGTCATATGTCCTCACCATTTTAATTTATTGTTTGATTCATATGCATTTGCTAGCTTAAGGGTTGGGGCGTAAATGCCATTTCACACATTTTCTTTTTGTCAACGCACTGTTTCCATCTCTGCCAAGTGTAAAAACTTCTCTGTGATAATTTGTCTTTTTTGTTCTTCTTTTTTTTTTAAACTTCCGTTTCCACTCTGTCTTTTTAATGCCCATATTAAAAATGTGCAAAGAGCAGGTGGATGGAAAGGCACTTACTGGCATCTTCTGTCGAGCTGGGGATGTTAAACCTGAAGGGTCTTGGGCTTATGGGAAATGTTTGGTTTTTTTTGTAAAAAGCAACTAAAACAGAAATACTAAAAGACCAATTATGTCACATGAAAAAAAAAAAAAAACGTTTCTATCCCCATCCAAACAAATTAAATAAATTGCACAACATACTGTTTGGCAAGTTTATGTTTCCAAGGCTGGATCTCTACTAATTTGCTTTAAAGGTCAATGGGATTTTGAATGAGGTTTTGAAGTTCTGGTTTCTTTCTGGCTCTCCATTAAGCTTCCACTTGCTACCTTGTAACTTGAATCACTGGCCCACATAAGCACTAGAAGTATCAGACCTATGTGTGTATGTGTGTTTGTGGGTATGTCAATGTGCTTGTGTGTTTCATTTGTGTCTCTAACTCCCGCTCTCGTTTCTCCCTCAGGTTTTGGATGGCCTTCTAGCTCAGTATGGTACTGTAGAAAACGTGGAACAAGGTACAGAACTCTTCTCCTCCCTGTTTGTTGCTCATCTCATCATCATCATCATCTGGCTCCAACTGTTCAATGCACACGTGTCTATCTAGCAACACACATGCACGCGCGCAGACCTCCCAGTGAGTCAAGTCTCCCTGTGTGACTTGACTTCCTCGTTACCATCATCCCACACACCCATTATCTAAACATAACCCATCTCTCCATATAAATCTGCTTTTATCATCTTGTCTGTCTGTGTGTGTGCATGTGTGTCTTATAAGTCTGACCCAGGGCGAGGAGCATTTGAATTACACGCAGCCTCTATAATAAGCACTGTGTATCGCCACGGGTCCCCTTGGCCTCAGTGTATGGATTGAAGTGGGCAGACATGGCAGACATCCATTAGTAATGTGTCTGTCTGTCTGTCTGTGTGTGTGTGTGTGTGTGTGTGTGTGTGTTTATGCCTCTACATGTTTGTGTGTGTGTGTGTGTGTCTGTGTGTGTGTGTGTGTGTGTGTGTATGTTTTGGGGAGGTGCATCGTGGTAATGGGTGAGGACACTGTAGGCGCCTGTGGTAAAGCTTTTGCACTGTCTGAAGGAGCGTGCGTGTGTGTGTGTGTGTGTGTGTGTGTGTGTGTGTGTGTGTGTGTGTGTGTGTGTGTGTGTGTGTGTGTATGTGTGTATGTGTATGTGTATGTGTGTGTGTGTATAGAGTAGTCAGCACTAGAGCTATCCCTAAGAACTTTTGGCTGTTTACACACACATGCACGAGTAGTAGACGCGCATGGGGAGAAACACACAAACACACACATACACAAATACTCACACACACGCACACAGTTTCTCTCTGTGCGTCAAACCAGCCAAGACCAACTACCACCCAGTGTAGTCATGACAGGTGCTAAAAGGAAAACCCAGCAGAGAAATGACTGTACTCAGAGTGTCCCAGATGCTGCCGTTTAACAGGATACTTCGTGTGTACCGTCCCACAAGCCGGCACAGCGTTACCTCTTCTTCCTCCCTCTTCATCCCGCAGCGCGGCTATCCAAACGTCAGAGCTGCACAAGTTGCACTGTCCGATCAAAACTTCCAGAGAGCCATCTTCGCTTGTGTATCTGCCCCCCCCCCCCCCATCTTAGTTGCCTTCTCAACTTCCTGTGCGCCCACCTCCTTTCTTGTCACTTTTCTCTGCCTGGGTCCGTGTGTCCGCTCTAGTTACCCGTGTGAGGTTTAGTTGGAGGAGTCCCATGTTCTTGTGTGGCATAGTGAAGGCTGCCGGTGGCGGGGCAGGGCACGGCGGGGCGGGGCGGGGCAGAGCTGGCTGTGAGCGCCGGGGGCCGGGCACCATGCCAGGCTCTGCCCACTCACCCTCTCTAGGCCAGCTGGGTGCTCTCACTAGTTTTAACCCTTCCAAACCTGCTGTCCTCTGCACACCAGCAGGTTCGGAAGTTTTTATTTTCCCTGACAGAAGGACATGCTCTGATGCCTTCTAGGAAAAAAAAAAAAAAAAGAAACTCCCAACACTTTTCCCTCTTTATATGACACTGACAATGTACCTTGTCCTTGTGGGTAACTTGCCAAACATTGGCAGTGGAGTTTATCAGCACATTCTTTAAGCTGTCTAAAGCATCTAGAGAAAATGTTATTTCTTCTGCAGCCTTAACTATCACACAGCAGTGGCTTCTGTGTAGACGTTTTGACATTTAGCAGTTGCACAAACAGAGTTTCATCGCTGACAAAGCAGAGATGCTATTATCTGCTCTGACAGAGGCTTTGGTAGGTCAGAGGGTATATCATCAATGAGACACGCTGTGTTTCTTTTTCATCTTAATATCACTATCACTGTTGCTCTCTCGCCCTACAGTCACTGATAGCTACATTTTCCACAAAATAGACAAAGATTATTCTGTGAAATGAAGCAAAGCGCAAGCTGAAGCAGAATTAGATAAAACAGGTTAAGAAAACATATAAATAAACGAATAAATGACAACAAAATACAAAACTAGGAGGACACTCAGAGATTACAGACCTCCGCCAAGGCCAGTGTTGGACAGCATGCACCAGACATCAGAGAAATTTCAAAGTCATATTAAATGATCTGGATCTGGAAACTTAATGGGCTCTTCCCTGGCCCGTGCTCCATCCCTCCACCCAGTTCAGTTTGAATTGGTTCTGCACTTTTTGTGTAATCCTGCTGACAAACAAATGAGACTTGAGTGAAAACATAACCTCCTTAATGGGAGGTGACAGTATCTGAAAACCATCTAATAAGACAGACAGGTGATATCATTTTTCCTTCTTCTCGCTGACAACAGTAGAGAATAAAAGTATGTGCAGCTCAGTCTCAGCACTCAGTCCAGTACTAAGCATTTTGTATGTAATTTTTCCTTCCGTCTAATTTGGGGCAGATCTGTTTTAAGGCGTAGATCCAGATTTTTTTTTTTATCACTTTCTTTAACATTGTGAGATTTGACACTTGGCTCTGTATGAATCAGACATATTCATATCTTTGGGATCTATATCTTTGTACAATTTGATGCAGATTCAGATAATAATCTGAATCTGAAGTACACGTGTCGGATTGTTTGGCTTTGGCAGAGGTACGTCCTCTATTGAGTGCCATTCTATAGCACATACCTCCGCCAAGGCCAAACAAGCCCATCAAATTGTAAATATGTAATTGTAAATCTCATAAATCTGAACACCATGAATATGTCTGAATTTTTACATCAAAGTCCTTACACTATTTCTTAAGAAACTGATGAAAATATTGAAGCTCGCAATGTAAAGGAATGTGATTAATAAAATTCCCGGATTTGCCCTTTTGACCGGATTCACACCAAAATTGATGGGATCTTCCCTGACCCATTCCCCATGTCTCCACCCAGTTTGGTGCAAATTGGTTCAGAAAGTTTTGTGTAATCCTGCTGTCAAAACAAACAAACAAACAGACACAAAGGAAAAGTGTCCACATCACAGATACCCAGATATTCACTTTAAAAGTAACAATTCTTACAATGGAGCAGCTAAAACTAGGAAATGTTTTGCCCGAAAAATGACAAAGATTATCAACCCATTATCAAAATAGTCGCCACACTTGAATCAAAGTCACCTTCCAGTCAGACGTTTTCAAGTATGTGTGACTGAGCAGTCCAGGAACACAAATCTTCCAAAGGTGTGTGTCTGTTGAACATTTCATTTCAATCACAGATTGCTCGCTTTGTTTCGGCTGTCATGTGAAACTTAAATCCGTTATTGTGCAAGAGGCAGAGAGTCTGTTGTGTTAAGCAGCTCCTGTCTGTAGAGGCAGCAGCGGGGTCTGGAGGGCAGCCAGCGTGGTGATGGCTGTAATGGATTCACACAGACAAGTGGCTCTCAGGGTCACCACGGGAACCTGGACGCGTGTCTGACTCACCTATACGGCAACAACAAAGACCTGTTACGTACATGTGTAAATGTGGCCCCTGTCTCACGTTTTTGCCACCCCCCCCCCTTCTCTCTCTCTGTCTTGTTTCACAGTGAACACTGACACAGAAACAGCAGTGGTGAATGTTACGTACGCAACCAAGGAGGAAGCTAAAGTGTAAGCAGCAAAAAATAATGACTCTGATGCAGCCAGGTTGTAAGAGCAAAACTGGAGATATACTTGCTTCTTTTTTTTTTTTTGTGTGTACGCACAGACAAGCAGCTGCAACACGAGCAGTATTGTTCACATACCTGTCTGTGTAAGATGATGGCAGAAAAAAAGCAGCAGTGGCAACAACGTTATTTACAGTATATCCACACAAAGCTGGCTAAATTTAAAAATCCGTCCTTTTTTTTTTTCCATTTCCGCACGTCTGTCCGCACTTCGCTAGCGTCTTTTTTTTCTCATTCAGACCTTGAGACTTTTAAAAATGGTCTCAAATGAGTCTTTTAAAGGGAAAACTGAGCATTTGGAAAATGATGACATTAATCTGCCCAGTCCTTGTGGGCAGGTGTGCAGCAGCTGTAGTTAAGAGGACAGCCTCTAACTTTCTCTGTGATCTCTCATTATAAATGTCAATACTTCTGTTCACATAGCACAGTGGTTCAATTAAAATGTGTAAATGGGAAAAACTAAATTGTTTTTTGAATGTTTGTGTTTCCACTCTGTACCAGATGTTTGGTGTGATGTGCAGTTTCGATGTTTGCAGACAGAAAACAGGATGGCAAAAAAAAAACAAAAAAGGAGATTTAGCATTCCAGTGTGGACAGACGTCTTCTTTTTAAAGTTAGCAGGCTTAGTGTGGACATTGTTTTAGTTTCTCTTTAAAAATTGTTGCTTGTTCAGTTTGCTGCTAACCTAATTTCATATCCTTAAACACTGCGTCTGCTGTTCATTTGCTTAAATGCCTCCAACAGCAGTTTAGTGTTAATTTCTTAGGATGAACACAAACAATTCTCAGAAGAAAGGCAAGATACATGAGGTAGCATCATGCGCAAACACAGTTACGAGCAAGTATATCAGAGTCTTAAAGAGTCAGCCAATCAGTTTCTTGAAGAAGCTTCAAATTATAGCATTTTGCAAATTCTCACTCAAGAACTCGCACAAACCCTCCGTACTGATATGCCATTGCTTCCTTGTCCTCCCCTTTGCTCCTTTCTTCTCCAGAGCCATTGAGAAGTTGACAGGACACCAGTTCGACGACTGCTCCTTTAAGGTGTCATATATAATGGACATGGATGCTGCTCCACCCGTCCAGGCTGCCCGCACACGGCGCGGGGGCCGATCGTCCCGGGACCAGGGCGCCTCTCAGCCAGGGCCCTCGGGAGGCTTCGGCGCTCCACGCCCTAGACAGCACGACTTCCCCCTGCGCATGCTCGTGCCTACTCAGTTTGTGGGAGCCATCATTGGCAAGGAGGGTCTCACCATCAAGAATGTCACCAAACAGACACAGTCCAAGTAAGATAACCTGATGAAGATGATGTATACAATAAAAGTTTTACGTCATCAGATACATCTATCTATCTATCTATCTATCTATCTATCTATCTATCTATCTATCTATCTATCTATCTATCTATCTATCATACGGAAAAGGTGACTTACAAGATCAATCATAATGAATAGAAGATGGAAAAAAAGATGGGCCCTCTTCAAATTAAGCAAAACTATAGTAATAATTATCCTACAAATGTCAATGAAACATCAGACGGATCATTTTTGAGAAGATGATTTAAGTAGTATACATGAAATGATAAAATAAACATAAAATTAAATATTAAAGCTTTTTATTTATTAAATACAATTATTTATTATTTATTATTTTTTATTTGATTTTCTCTCTCTCTCTCTCTCTCTCTCTGCCTCCTCCTCCCTCAGGGTGGACATCCATCGGAAGGAAAATGCAGGTGCAGCAGAAAAGCCCATCACCATCCACTCAACACCCGAGGGCTGCTCCTCCGCCTGTCGTATGATCCTGGACATCATGCAGAAGGAGGCCAACGAGACCAAGACGTGAGTCGGCACTTGAACATACACAAACAATCGCAAACGCGCACATAAGCACACTCAGATGTGCTTATGCATAGCATGTATACGATCCCACAGGGAGATTAGCCATAATGTCTGCAGGGCTGTAATCTTATCCTTTAACCTGCCTGCACACCTTTTAATCTCACTGTGCATTCTCCCGCTTGCACCATTAACACAGTAAACACAGTGCACACGACACACCCGCATAGTCTAACACGTGATCGCAGATTAGCATTTAGGAAACGAGGCCAACGTGTCTAATTAGGTTTAATACTTTTAACAAGACACTGCGCCTTTTAAACTCCTGAAACTTCTGCTCGATCTGAGGATCAACACTCACCTTTAACACATCATACCAGTGTTTGTCTTTTTATTTCTTTTATCGAGTGTTGTTTCATTCAGAAGAATTGAAAGATCCAGAAGAAAACTGTTGCATTTGATCATAAAAATGTTTCCACAGCCGTTCTTTTCCTTTTCATTTGCATAAGATGTTTTGTCAGAGGTTATTTATTTTGTTGTTACATAACACACATAATGCCGCACTTTGCTCGCTGTCCACCTCCTGACATCCAGAGCAATATAGAGCTTAAAACTTTGATGCCACATTTTCTCTTGTTTGCTAGGATGACATTCAAGCCGGGTATCACACTGTTAAAGGAGCAGTTCGACATTTTGGAATTTATGCTTAACAACTGGAAAAATGGGGGAAATAGGAAATGTTAAAAAAAAAAAAACAATCTGATTACAACATGCAGAGACGTGTAGTAAGTGGGCAGTCACTCTAAATGTCACCAATATTTTCCTTTAAATTAAAAAACACAAAAAAAGCAAAAAAAAAAACTGCTCTCAGCGCTTTTGTTGAGTTTAAATTTAATTGTTGTACATTTCTTTTGTCAGACGTGTCCACCAAATGTATGTGATACTGTATGATCTAACAACAAGAAATCAGTCAGCTCAGTCTGTGCAATCATTAATCCTACTTTCAAAAGTCACAATAGCTTCCACACCTCTGATGATGTGTGCTGACCAAACAACTGAACTGTTGACCCTGCCTGAGTGTCACACCTGCAGAAATGACGACCTCCACGCTGTAATTTGACAGAGTCTGAGGAGGCTGAGCGCCCAGCTTGACTCGACCCACTAAACTCACAGGCAACGTCATCTCCCCCCTCTTGCCCCACAGCTCACCCCAAACTAATTTCACCCTGCAGCACAGAGCTACACATCCAGATTATAGCGTGCCCTGACCTGCCGCCCCCTCCCCTACACACACACACCACACACACACACACACACACACAAACACACACATACCACCTCCACCATAACTATCAAGTCTGTGACCCAGCCCAAAAGAAACCCCCAGCATCTGGTTTTCCCCTCCACCACACCACACCCCGCCACAAACACTCACACCCCACAATTGTCCTGCAGAACAGAAATATAGATTACACAGAAATTATACGCCTCCTATTTTAATAACCTATTACCATCCCATCTACACGTTCATACAGACACCCGGGGCTTGATTTTTTTTTTTTTTTTATGTTTTTTATTTATTTTTTTATTTATTTTTTTTTTATAAACTGTTACACTTTATGTCATGGGTCTGTTATTTTCCAATAATTTCATAAAAATTTCTTTAAAAAAAAAACTAATTTGGCAAAACATTTTAGGGAAAATAGTGACAAAGATGATAAATGAATAAAACTTTTATTTTTGAGTCATGCATGCAACAATCCCCAGTCAGCTGAACAACTTTCAAAACAAAATCTTCAAACCTATATAGTCTGCAACAAATTCCATGTACCATGGGAAAAATAACTGACACATCTGAGTAAATATTAATTGGATAGTAACACAATATATTTTCAATGAATTTGAGGCAAAGCTGGAGACTTAAACGTCAAAATCAAACAACCTTTCCATTTTTGCCCATCTCTGCACCAGAATTCATCAGCATTTTTGTGAAGCCATTTCATGGAAAATTAACTCACCTAAATCATCATAATTTGTACAGTACAGCACTTCACCCAAATTACACCGCTTTCACAATCTGCTTTCCTCCTCAATATTTTTAAACATGCCAACTTCAACGGCCAGAGAAGAATAACAGTTCTCAACTAAAGGTCTTTGGCTTCCACATAAATGAAATTCAACCTTTATTCCTGCAAACTTTATTCTGTATATATGTTAGATGTAATGCTAATTTAGCAATAAAAATTCATTAGAGTTCCAGGAAACATTTAGATAAAGTACTAGAAAATTATGAGGGATTAAACTTTTTATTGTAAGGATGAAAAAAGTGTAATAAAAAAAATAATAATAAACAGTAGAAAAACAAAGTAATGCAAAAATCTGTAGTTTCACTGTTGTCACTTGCTTTTAGGAACATTGACACAGAGCTGTGCTTGTTGCAACAGCACCTTGTGTACTGTAAAGGGCTGTGATCAGGGGCAGAAAATCAGCATCGAAACAGCTTCTTGTAAAAATCTGGATATCTTTCTCTGAAATGTCTAAAAAAAAAAAAAAAAGAAAAAAGGATGAACTTTATGTTGTGGTTGGGCTCGTGTCTTAACATGGTTGCCCTGTGCTTACAGCAGCACTTCCAGCTGGGCAGCTATCCACATTCCTGTTCATCCCCACCACAGCATCACATTCCTCACACCACATCAGTGACACTCAGCAGAACTTAGCCTCTATCATCTCGCCTAACCTGTGTGTGTGTGTGTGTGTGTGTGTGTGTGTGTGTGTGTGTGTGTGTGTGTGCGCGCGTGCGTGCGTGCGTGTGCATGTGTGTGTGTTTGTGTGTCCCTACGTGTGTGTGTGTGTGTGTGTGTGTGTGTGTGTGTGTAGGACGGAGGACATCCCTCTGAAAATCCTCGCCCACAACAGCCTGGTTGGTCGGCTGATTGGGAAGGAGGGCCGCAACCTGAAGAAAATCGAAGAGGAGACAGGGACCAAGATAACCATCTCCTCGTAAGTCGCCCAGCCAAACTTCCCGCCTCCCTCTTTCACACACACGCCCACAGTGAGTGCTCCGCGGCTACACTGCCAGCACCTTCAGAGAAACCAAACACACACACACATACACTGGAGTGTTTGAACATTTTGGTGTGAGCGCTTGTGGAATAGCGGCGGTGACACTCCAAGTGACTCCAACCAGTGCACAAATAACATGCAGTGATTTCAACTCCTCGGTGCCACGCCTCCGTCCCTCCCCGCTCATTAGCCTTTTAGCATGTGGTTTCACTTAACTGAGTTGTTACAGCACAAATGTGAAGAGTTGATTACGGCTCCCTTCAATCCAGAACATGATATTAGAGAGGTGGCGATTACACCTCATTTAACGGACTGTGCTCATCAACCTTCATGTTCATTTATGGCTAATGAATTGCTGTGTCTCCATGAGCTCTGAGGATGTAATGAGCCTTGAGAAGGGAGACAGAGAGGAGGAGAGGGTCCTTTTGAGAAGAGGCAAACATTACATTCAGTATTGATGGTTCTGTGAAATCCTTTCAGGTTGTCCTCCACGTCTTCAAACACAGAGGGCAGAATAGATTGGGATTGCTTCAAAGGCCCAAAGCTGTTATCATTTGTGTATTGTCCAAGATAACTGCTTTGTGGTGCGATCGCTTATTTGATTCATTTAACAGACTTTTCTTTGTTTCAGAGCTGTTAAAAAAGTTTCAGTTTCGCTATAACTACTCTGCTATTTTCTCAGTAACACTGTGGTTAAGCTTTGGTTACCAGATCTAAGTGAGCATTGTCGTTGTTGAGCTCCGAAATCTGTGCTTTGCAAAAAAAAAAAAAACTGTTAGAACAACTTTTGGGGAAAAAGATTTTGAGCTTGGCGTGATTTCGCTGTTGCACAAAATTATAATTTCAAGCCAAATGTCTTCCTGCGGTGTTTTTACACTCTTGATATTCTTGTTCTTCTTTTCTCTTTAAATAATAATAACAAGAACGGATGAATCCATTTAAACTCTCACTGTTCTGATATTCACGTCCTGAAAATTGTTGCTTAAAGGGGCACTCCAGTTCTACAAATACTCTTCATGAGGAGCACTCAGCCTGTGAAGAGAGCTGTGTGACGTCTGTTGTGTCTCTGTTGCGGCTTTGAAAAGAAAATGACCCTGAACATGTCATCAGGGTTATCTTAGTTTGGGCTCGGAGACTATAGATTTATAACTCAAATAAGTTACAAACTAGGGATGTGGAATTGTAAGTTTAGTCATTTCTGACACTAAAGTATAACAGACATGCAGCTTAATAATGGGGAAGTGCTCGAAAACTGACCAAATATGGGTGTGTTACCTCGGCGACGGTCTGTTGTTCAATGTAATTAAACCCACTTTTAGTCACTGTACTGTAATGCGCTTCACCGGCTCTGCAGTCATGTAGTCATCTTGACTTGTCCGATGGTAAAACTCAAAGGTCATTAACATGTTTATCTCTTACAACTCTACCATCTGACTCATATAACATCAATGCATCGAGTTGCATGATGGGAAGTGTAGTATCCAGTGTTTTCGGAGCTTGACTCAAACCAGGGAGCTTAAATCTAAGTTTCTGCTGCCTCAGTTTTGACCATTCTTTTTCTGCGTCCCGTGAGTCCTCCAACTACTAAATTTCTTGCTTGCTAAGCAAGAAATTTTGATGCCAGTTTTGATGTTGATGATGCAGCCTTCAGTTAACGCTTACGTTAGATAAAAACAGAGACAGGAAATCCAATTAAAAGCAGCTCAGTCACCTCCACCTTCTGAGAAAACATGTGAGCAGAATATGAGTGTGCCTGTTCTCTTTATTTTTATTTGCATATTCATGTGCTCATTTTTGTGTGTGTGTGTGATCTCCCTCGCAGGTTACAAGACTTAACCATTTACAACCCTGAAAGGACCATCACGGTGAAGGGCATCTTGGATGCGTGTTGTAAAGCTGAGGTAGAGATCATGAAGAAACTGAGGGAAGCCTACGAGAATGACATTGCTGCTATAAACGTGAGTCATTTCCAGTGTGTATGTGTGTGTGTTTGTGTGTGTGTATGTTTGTGTCTTTTGTCTGTCTCATTTCTTATCCCAGGTTGACTCACATAGACTGACAGGTGAACAACAGAGAGGAGTGGTGATATACAAAAGATAATATCACCTCCCCATTCAGTACATGTTACCACCAGGATTAGCAATACCCGTTGTTGTGCGCTTGGTAAACGGATGACAGTAAATGATCGCTGAATAGCTCATCGGTGACTCGAGTGTTTGAGCACAGCATGTCTGTGGACGTGTGTGTGTGTGTGTGTGTGTGTGTGTGTGTGCGTGCGTGCGTGTGCGTGTGTGTGTGCGTGTATGTGTGGAGCCTCTGACTCATGCTCTCTTCCCCGCTGCGTGTGTCTGTGTTCCTGCTGTAACACACTGCGTTTCCCAGCATCCATCTGATATCTGTAGGCTGCTCTCTCGCCCAGCTCCTCTTTCACGCCGCCCTGATGACATCACTGGTGCTGCAGCCAGAGAGGTCAACCACAGAGGAAGAGAGATAGCGATGCTATCACACACACTGAACGCACAACACAGAGATGAATGTGGACAGTGTGATTGTGTTAAGGGTGATGTTGCTGAACTTGTGGAGAGACTCAGACTTAGCATCAAAGTGTCTGTTTTTTGCTGCTAGTTTTCTCCTTCATTTTCACTGTCCAAATATTGGCTCGGGAATAATCATCAAGAAGTAACACGCAGCATGCGGTTAAATTGTTCTGGCTGGCGTGAGCACTTTCTGGCACCTGCCAGGCTGAGCGTCTACAGTAAGCGGTGAGGGCCATCTAGCGTGATTCTGCGGATATTACACAAAGCTCTCTGGGAACAAGGAAGTGAAAGGAGACCGCGTGTCTTGTCACGGGCATGAAACCAGAATAGCTGACTTGACTTTGAGGGAAGAATATTTTTGTCAAGCAACAGCATACTGTCCTGTGAAAACCACGTATCTCAGAGCATCAACTTTTCATGAGCTAAAAAAAACAAAAAAACCCAAAAACAGCCTGGTTCTCAAATAGTTTCAGATAGTCCAGTGGGTTTTTGAATGGTTTATTTATCATAAGAAGTTGGAGAATTTTTTCAACCCATAAAGAAGCACGTTTATCTGAAACTTTTAAATTCACTAAATTTTGCGACACAAATAAAAGTAACAGTTTTATGTGGTGGAGTAAGTGGTAGTAAAGGAACAGGTCACACAACAAAAGCTGAAACCGCAATTTTCATTGTGAGTCAAACTGCCGATTAGTTTCCCAATAATTGGACAATAACTTAGCAAATGATATAGCGAGAAATGCATGTTACAATTTTCCAGAACACAAATATATTCTGATTACTTGTGTTATCCAAACAATAGTCCAAAGCCTAAACAATTTTGGTAATTATTGTTTTGTTTTTTAAAAATTAAAAAACAGGTTTAAAGAAAATACTTACAGTGAATGAGTCATTTATGTTTTCTCCTCATTTTCTCTCCCCTTCTCATTAGCTGCTGATTTTCCGTGTTGTGTTTTTTACTTTAATCTGTAGTGGTCAGTGTCCTCTTGCTGCAGGAATCATAACAACTTGCAAATGTCTGACGAGATAAAATCCATGTTAAAATCTGTTTAAACTGATCTGCTCCTTTATAAAAACTTGAAAAAAAACACCCAATCCCCCCCCCCCCAAAAAAATCAGTGAGCTTTAATGAATAATAATCCTAGTGTTTCGTCTTCTTTCTTGTAACTAATGGCTAAAATCTGCCTGTGCCTCCCTTCTTCTTCTTCTGCACAGCAACAGGCCAACCTGATCCCAGGCTTGAACTTGAACGCTCTGGGCATCTTCTCCTCTGGTCTCCCGGTGCTGCCCCCTGCTGCTGGACCACGCGGTGCAGTGCCCCCTGTTGCACCAGCAGGATACAACCCATTCTTAGTGAGTATGCCCTTTTTTTTCTGCACTCAACCATAAAAGGTTGAGGGTAATTTTTTTTTTTTTTTTTAAAAATGCCTCTTTTAGAGTGACTTTGCCAACATCGTTTTTTCTCGCCCAGCAAAATGATGCACAGCTCCTGTGGGGATTAGTTTTGACTTGTTATTGCAATTTGTTTCCAACAAATGGTAAACCAGGTTGCCCCTGAAGTGCTTTTTGAAAAAACAGTACTTTGTTGACTCAGGTCTTCCTGCATGATGTTGTATGCAGTCTGAAACAGCCAGAATTCCCCCATCTTCTCCAGAGATGAGTCAGTTTGTCTGTAAAACAAAGTCTCCACTCATTGCCTGATGAGGGCGAGCCAAAGCGGTGTGAGACAGAGTGTGAGAATGTATTTGCGTGCTTCATAGTCAAGAAAGTCAGTGTGTGATTCACTGTGAGTTTATGCCCTGAAATTCCCCCCTAGTGAGAGCCTGACTTGTGTACATGCATGTGTCTTTTAAAGTGTGCGTTTGTGAGTGTTTATGTGCCATCTGATCGGCCTGCTTGTCACTTCACTTTCAGAGTCACTCTTCACATCTCAGTGGCCTGTACGGGGTTCCTCCAGCAAGTGCCATCACCCACCAGCACTCAGTATGTTGCCTAAAATCTGCACTACAGTCAGTGTTGCCTTGGTGATCAAAGACTTTCCAGCTCATTTCTTGTCCTTTTGTGCTACTAGATAATTATTGTAATAGTTGGTGGCAATTTAAAACCACATTTGTTACACACCAGAAGCTTTGAAAAAGCCTCCCACTTGGGATGTAACAGTTTTCTTCCTCTTGCGTTGAGAAAAAAAATCCACCCACTTCCTTGAAACCTGCCACAGAATAGATAAATAAAGGAAGATATAGGACCAATCGAGACATACTGTAAATAACAGGCTGTTGCAACCTCTCAGTCAGCGTCTGTGTTGGACAGCGGGTCTGGCATTCCTGCATCCCATCGCCCAGTCACCAGAACACCACAAATATTTCTGGAAGGGGACTTTTCAGCCCAGAGTTGTGGCTCGTAAAAATTCACTTTATAAACCTCGAGTACATGAGTGTTACCATGCTAAGAAAAACAAAAACATAGGGCAACCATCTGCCCTAATAGGAAATATTCCATTCAGACTCGGCCAGAGCGGGATGTTTACCCAGAGAGAAAACCCTCACAGAGAGCTCAGTTTAGCTTTCGTTGCATGTGGTGTCATCGTTTTCGGCTGCTCTTCAAGTATCTGACAACTTAAATCAGAATTTCTGTAACTATTTAAAGTAGTTTCAAAGGTTTTTTTTCTCTGCCGCCATCAGCAAGGAAAGTTTAGTTAAAGTGTAGTAAAATATTTTTTTTCCTGTGTGGTCTTTTTTTTTTTTTTTCAGCAACAGGCTCCAGAACAGGAGGTTGTCTACCTCTTTATTCCAACTCAGGCAGTCGGGGCCCTGATCGGCAAGAAGGGCCAGCACATCAAACAACTCGCCCACTTCGCTGGAGCTTCCATCAAGGTGGGTTTTTACCAGACTTCAATGAGAAGGGGGGGGGGGGGGGGGGTGTGAAACCTACTCTCATCAACATTTAGAGTTGAATCCTCAAACACAAGTTACACATGCCTCACATTTTTCAGAGCTTCACATCGGGCATGAAGGTCGTTAAGTTGGTGAGTGCTGGCTGAGTCAGCAGCACTTCATGGACCACAGCTGAGGATGTTAGTTATTTATGGTCAAAAACAAAGAAGAAAAAGGAGATGACTAGTGAAGTGAGCAATTCAGAAAGCCCCTGAAGCTCCGTCTGGAGAGGTGGGACAGCTGGTCAATGCATCCTTGTAACGCAATGACAGGCAATTCGTGCTTTTCTCAGGATATTTGCAGGTTTCTCAGATGATTCAGTGGTTTGCATTGAATTACCACAGAACAAGAGGACCAGCTTTTGGCCAGATTTTCTCCTTTTTTGTCTCCATAACTTGTCTCTGTGTGTATGTCAGATTGCCCCAGCTGAGAGCCCAGACGTTACTGAGAGGATGGTTATCATTACTGGAACTCCAGAGGCTCAGTTTAAGGTAAAAAATAACCACTATGATTGTGTGCAGGAATATTCATATAAAAATGTGATTGATTCTGAAATTTTGGAGGAAATTGCTGTGTCTAAATTCATAAATATTTGTCAAAAATGATTCATTTGTCCTGTACAGTATTATAGTAAACAGCAGTGGATCACTGTGTGTCCCCATTTTCCCCAGTCTCTCCTTGCCTCATACCCTCCTCTGTATTCCAGGCCCAAGGTCGGATATTTGGGAAGCTGAAAGAGGAGAACTTCTTCTCAGCGAAAGAGGAGGTCAAACTGGAGACGCACATCAAGGTTCCCTCAACTGCAGCTGGCAGGGTCATTGGTAAAGGAGGCAAGACGGTGAGTTGTTGCTTGAATTGAACTAAATTATGGTCAAGATTGGAAAACAAACTGTTGCATATACTGACAATACTTAATCTGTGTCTAACCTAAGTCTTTTTTGGATACATCCATTGTTTTATATTTATTCAAATTGTGCATTTTTACATTTGGGATCCCCATAATTATCAGAAAACTTTGGCTTAAAGCCGACGTTAGTCAGCAGAGAAGAGAAGTTGTTCTTTGTTCAGCTTTTTATTTTTTCATGTTCATCCAGGAGACTGCAGTCTGAACTCTGCTTGGGAAAAACTCGAACATCTCTTTACTCAAAAGTAACTCACGCAGCTTTTAATTGAAATTAACCAGTATTTATATTTGCATAAGAACAAACACAGTAAATAAATGAGCAGCAAGTGTGCTCCTCACCAATGATTACTGCACATGATGTACCACCGTCTTTGCTCGGCTTCATCAGATACAGTTCACCATCATTTTGATACCTTGTCTCCCAGTGCGTGATGTCAGTGTGTTTTGTAAGTGAGGCTGCAGGTGACCGTCAGAGCAAGACGATGACCTCTTGACGTCTGTGTCTATTTTTCAGGTAAACGAGCTCCAGAACCTTACGAGTGCAGAGGTCATCGTACCGCGGGACCAAACTCCAGACGAGAATGACGAGGTCTTTGTGAAAATCAGTGGGCATTTCTTTGCCAGCCAGGTAAGAAAGAAAAACGAAAAAAATAATGACTGCATTTCTTGTTAATGCAGTGGCAACTGGGTGTGCAGGTGGTAGTGGTGGAGGATTTAATCCACAACAAACAAATGCACGACATGCATGTACTCATAAAACGTAGGATAATGTCAGTATTGATAATGCTCAAGTAGAACCCTTAATTTAGCAGCTGTATGTTTAATAACCACAAAATATGCTGATGCATGTTTCTTTTTGGAACTATCTCTATCCTCACCTGTTGTTCAGTTGTAGCATCATTTTTTCGTGTCAATGCTCAACTCGGCAGCCAGGGCTAATTATTATTAGTAGTTATCAACTGCAGTTGAAGTGCAAAAATAAGATGAAACAGAAATAAAGAAGTAGAACTTACAAGAAAAGAACAAAATAAGTAAAGTAAGTCAAACGATAATGTCTTAGATGCGATTGTGACAGGTTGGAGGTGGGTGGATCTGTGTAAGAAATTACTGTACATTGTGCCATTGGAGTTTAAGTACAAAAAACAATGATAAAGGTGTAAAAAACACACACACCCACACACACTCACACACACACACACACACTTCTTTCTATTCTCGGTGTATATATATATATATATATATATATATATATATATATATATATATATATATATATATATATATATATATATATATATACATACTATAGGGATATGAACTAACAACAATTTTTTTTTGACAACCCCAACTCAAGAAAATTGACTAACTTATTTTGGCGTTTACAACCGTATCACATGGTCTTAATCAGCAGATGGAGTTTGCTCAGTTGTTATGGAGATGGATCTATGCGTGAAATCATAATTGCTCCTCAGCTCTCACATCTGTCTCCATAGCAACTGGGCACCCTCTGTCTGTTGATGAAGACTGTGTTATATGGTTGAAAGTTCCAGAAAATCTATTGTTGTATTGTCAGACAACTATTGATGCCTGGCAATTATTTTGTTAGCATACAACAACTACAGATGCTATTAACCCATTAATCTTACACTTACCGAAGGTGCATTGTCTAAATACTAAAAAAGAATTAGATTTAAATGTAACCTTGTTTTTTCACTTCTGACCAGCTTTTTAAATTACTTTTACTCACGCATACTGAGCATATAGTAATACAATAATATCAAATGGACAGATACATAGAGTATCATAGTATAGTAAGGCATACAAACATCATAGTATAGTAAGGCATAATGTGCCGTTAATATAAACTTGACAGTTATCTATATATCAATTCTTACACTCTGAATTTCAGATACATTTACATATAGGGTTTAACCAAATGGATTTACATATAGGATTTAATTAAATCAGTCTTTTTTACTTTTCCCATTTTTTCACATTGTGGTGGTCCTTCCCTTTACTGTCCCTTTTTTTACATATGGACACCGTGTCTTGTATCGTCGCTCGGCTAACACCTCATCCTACATGTGATGTCTTTGCAACAGACTGCACAGAGGAAGATCCGGGAGATCATACAGCAGGTCAAACAGCAGGAACAGAAACACCAGCAGGGCGCCGCCGTGTCACCGCACCACTCCAAGTGACCAGCAGGGCGGCTTCAGTGGGCGCCAGCCAATGAATGTAGCCCTCCAAAACAGACAGAGACCTACCCAGACAAAGGCGAAGGCCAAGGGGGACATGCAGGGCAGACCAGCAGCACCGGGATCAAAACCAAAGAACTTTACTAGGGGGGAGACAAGTGAGAGCCAAAGGCTGAGGGCATTGTGTGCACTGCCAGCCCTGTGAGAGCAGATAGAGTGGGAGAAACCGTACTGATATAATACGACAAAAAAAGACCAAAAAAATCTATAGGAAAGATGGAAATGGCAGAGAATTGGGAACTGTTGTCTTCACAGTCAAAAAAAAAAGGTAAACAGGAAATAGTATGTCGCCCTGCATAACGTTATCTCTTTAGTTGGACTAACATAGGCCTAACAAATGGATAAAGCAACTGTATTAACATGAGCATATACAAGGCATTGTGATTGATATTTTGGGTTAGAATGAGAGCGAGTGACAATGGACCTTCTCTTACAAGAGTTTGAGATGAGATTAAATATCCTTAGCAGTATTAATACAGAGTAGAAAAGTATATTGATACACACTGAGAGTATGCACTGTTATTTTTCTACCAAAATGACAGTACGACTTGGTGTAGTTTTTAATATTTTGCTTGTTCCTGACATTGATCGGGCTGTGACAGCCACACAAAGCAGTTCCCCTTGTTTGTTCACACTTTAGGCCACTGAAATCAAAAAAGAAATCCCCTATAAGTAAATATGGTGAATGGTTCTGAGTCTTTGTAACAAGCCTGTGTGTGTGCCAACGCAAAAGATAACGTCCCTTTGAAATGTCTCTCACCATTCATATCTGATGCTACACTTATTTCTTTTTATTTCTTTCTTTTCTGCTAATTTCTGCTTCACTTTCTCATCACTCTCTCTCATCGGGCATCATGTTTTTTTTAATAGGGTAAAAATATTTGTTGTCAAGAAACACTTTTTTTCAGTAGCCTTTTGAGAACACTGCCACTTTCGCTCAACAGAGGTTAAAAGCCACCGAGGGATTTTTTTTTTTACCAGTAAACTGGTATCACTCTCCCATGCTGTACAGTAGTAGAATATATCTACATTCATGCTTGTTGTCCTGATATATAAAAAAAAATCAAAAGGATGTCTCTAAAGGCATTCTCCTCGACGATCAGAGCAAAAATTGACGTCTTAAAAAAAAAAAGAAAAAAAAGAAAAAAAAAAGGTGCACCTTTGCTTGTTAACAGGCAACCAGTTGTTTTTGAATGTGCACTGCCACACACTCGGCCTTATGAGGACGTCACAAGGGCCAGCACAAAATGTGAGCTGAGGGCCCAAAAAAAAAAAAGGGTGGGGTGGGGGTTGCAGACTTGTGGTGTGTGGAGTGGCAGTGAGGAAAATTTTTGGGGTTGGGGGGGGGGGGTTATAGGGAGGCACTGTATGACCTGTGGTACACACACAACCGCAAACGTGACCGCAGCGGCGTTTGGCTTTAACCCTCTCTTGTCAGGGAGCGTTCTAAAACGGCATGACAGCTGTGAATGTACAATATGCAGCCTTTTTAGAAAATATCGCCCCTGCCGTGTCCAGCAGGGCCAGGCCAGAGGCACAGACACGATTGTCATTCTCACTCTCGCTCTTTTCTTTCATCTTCACTTTTTTGCTGTTTTATTTTGGCGAGCTGGCCGCCTGCTCTACGAGCACGCTGGACACGCGGGTCCTGGTGTCCCTTTGTGCTTTACTTTGGAGACCATGGAAGCTTGTTGCCTTATTTTGTCACCTTTCAGACATCACCCATCAGCTTCATCTTCCAGACGCAAGGTTATTGCCAATACGCACAGCTTCCTCCGTGTGTGTGTATGTGTGTGTGCGTGTGCGCATGTGTGTGTGTATATATATATAAAAAGAGAGAGTAATATTTATGAATCTATTTTTTTCCTATTTTGTGATGAGAGCTATTGATAAGAAACAAAAAGAAAACAAAGTCCTTTTCTTTTTTTCCTCAGTGGGACACTGCCATATTATTTTGAAGGGAAGTGTTTATTTTCTTGAAAACTAGACTATGAATAATAATATAAATGAAAACCTGAAAAAATAGGAGAACAGTAAAGTGAACGACCGTGCTAACATTGGTCAGGATGTGAACAGTGCGCATGTCAGTATTGTGATCTACCTCAGGCTTCAGGGTACCTCAGTCCAATCTTTCATTTCCCCTTTTTCCACATTTTGTATGCCTTGTTAACCTTGTTGATCATTTTGAGCGTTTTTAATTTTCTTTTTTAATGAAAAAAAAAAATAGATCAAGAGAAAAGATCTACAGTAATCTCTAAGCTCTTCAGGTCCAGCTGACTAGTGAAACTTTGTAAACCGTAGTCAACTCTGTTGGACTGTCTTTGCCTGGACGCCAAACAACCTCTTAATGATACACGTCAAAGGATTTCCAAGTCGATTTTTTTGCTAGAAAGGAATGAAGAGCAGGATCTAAGGGGTACATACCTGTCCGAAGTGGTTCTGAATGTGGATGTTGTGTACTGATTTCACCATCAAAGAAAGACAAAAAAAAAAAAAAGTTACAAATCGGTTGATAGAAACAGAAACTAACCAACTGTACCTCCTGTTTTTCCCAACTGTACCTCCAGGTTTTTTGAGACTTAAAAAACAAAAACAAAAAAACAAAAAAACAAAAACAATGAAGTTCATTCACTTGTGAAAAAAATGCATTTTATAACAACCCAACCCAATCTTACCAGCTCTATTTGATAACAGCATACTCTGGGGTTGATTTGAAGAAAACACAAAGCTGCAAAAATACACTGACAGGACTCTTGAACATGGTGTAAAACCCTAGTCTTCTGTGTAGAGAATGTAGAACAACTCTAGTCGTTGAAATGTCACTGTGTACGACAAGATAACTGTATATCTGTAAACATGTACAATAGTCACACATAAATGCATCGTCTCTCTATAACACTTACCAGTCTGCACCTGCATTGTGCGAGATGGTGGGAGAAGTTTAGAGCGTCACAGCTTCCCTCAAAAATGACCTCTATATGCTTTTCTCATCAATCTACCAATATTATTTTAATTTTTTTTTTTTTTTTTGTGCTGTACATTTCAGAATTACCTCTCAGAATCCAAGGCTGACTTTAGTTACTAAAACCGATGTAGGGCAAAAGTATTAAATAAATGAATGATATAGTGAAAGTTAGTGTTTGTCTTTGGGGTTCTTTTGACTGTTGAGAGCTGATTTTTAACTTTGGTGGGCAGACTGTTGTCATCAGATAAGGTGGATCATTTTTGTCCCAGTGAACACAAACTAGCAGTGCTAAAACAAATAAATAAATAAAACATAAAGGTCTATGAAACTCACACAATGCCTGAGGCTGTTTCAGCAAGCCTCTCCACAGCCGGTACAGTACCTCATACTGATGACAATAGCTCACCAGACCTGATTAAAATACCCTGACCTTACCCACACGAATGCAGTACGGTGCTTCTACTCGAACGCATGACTCCTGTGGTGGTCTGCTTCACTGTAGTAGGGCATGTCGAGGAGGAAACGGCTTTCCACAGTAGCACTGGAAATTGTAGTTTGTCAGTCATGGTTTGTTTGATTGTCAGGAGTAGTTTTTTTTTTTTTTTTTTTTTTTTCTTTTAAGAGCAGTTTTGAAGTTGAGGCTCTTTTCTTGCATTGCGGAGGACTCTTCAGACCTCTGTCTCTCTTATGTTTTTGGCTCTTTATAAGCGCAGGTTTCCCTCTAGCTGGTTCGGTTTTCGCTGTGGTGTTGTGAGCGGAGCATCCTGGTTGTTGAGACATCTGTGAGGCAACCGCAATCTGAGGCGAAACTTGTCAAGATGGTAGTAAACTTTTTTTTTTTTTTTTTAACTTCCAAGGATAGTTTGTTTCTAGGTTTTTGTGGGGTGTTGCTAGGCATTAATATTCATTACCAGAAAACCACAATCACACACATCACTGAGGACAGTGTACAGTGTTGTTAGTCATATCACACGGTGGTTGGATAGTTTAGGCTTTACCTTGTTTTCTGTTGATCTGGTTTTCTCGTCAGTTACACTGATTTAATAATGCAGTATGTCTGGAGCAGTAGTTTGGATTCTTTGCTTTAATATTCATTCCTGTTAGATCACTACCAATAATACTAGCTGTTAAAAATGTGGTTGAAAAATATCCTAGCTAGGGTTTTCAACATATTTGGGGAATCAAGAATGGCAAAAAAAAAAAAAAAAAAAAAAAAAAAAAAAAATTGCAAGTAGATATGACTGTTTGACAAGCGGGAGGGTTGACAGAGTATCCAGGTCTGAAAATAAATAAGATGATTGAAATTGTTCTGACTTTGGGAATGAACAGCAAAAGTGGGCATTTTAACAACCATCCAAAAACGTATGGATTAGCTGAGGAAGGATTTAGTAAAGTCTGGTCAGATGTATGCAGAACCACAGCAGTGTTTTTTTTTGTCCCATCTTCTTGTTCAATGAGAAAACACAAAGCATTGCATGAGACTGTTGTAGGCGATCCAGTATGTATTACACTTCATATAGCACTAGACTTTCAGTAGTGGTTTTACATGGATCCATTTCTTAACTGCATTTCACCATTTGGGAGATTCCTTTTGTTTCCTCAGTAGGTCAAAACCCTAAAGTCCTACATTTCCCACGGGCCAAAAGGTCCCAAACACCTCAAGGTAATTAGTGACTGTGCGCTGGACAGACATATGATCCATTTTTAACACATCTTGTGGATCCATGACTTTCTGGTAACAGCCATGCTGTTGTTTTGAGTTGTGAGTGAACTGTATTGCTGAGCAACCTGGATCTGAGCAATAAAGAATATTTGAAAGAAAGTGTTGTTTTATCACGTGTTTACCGTTTTATTATTTCAAAGATTTTTCCACTTCTGAAATAAAAAAAGTGCCACATCATTTGTGATCCGACATACTGCAAATGTCACTGCCATGAATTATATTTAAAAGAATTTACATGTCTGGGGAAACGAAATTGCAGAGACAACATTTTACACTTTAACCCACATGAAGAAAGAAAATAACACTTTATGAAACACACACGCAGTAGGACCAGAATGCTGCTCTTCAACACACATGATAAGAGGCAGCAAAGATGGATTTTGAAGCAATATTAAAGCTTGATTTAACAGAGGCCTCACACTGCCTGAATTAACTGCACATTCACTTTCAAATAAGAATCCAGCTCATTAACATCAAGACACATTAAATCAGGGCTGTACATTTAGTCACAAAAATCGTAATATAATTCAACTGGTTCCTCAGAATGACATGTGGACATGGTACTCTGGTCTTTCTGAGGCCAAATACTGGTCTCTAAATTACACTGTACAATGTGAAAAACAGTTCAGAGTTGAAAAATAGTAAAAAAAAAAACTGCCCTATATACTTTATTACAATTTACACTGAAATTGTAAAATGTGATTGTCAAACAAGTAAAATACAACTTCAAGTTGTGTAGTTTATACTGCAAATAGTATTTCAGTTACAAATAACATTGTTTACATGAACCCAACAAAACGATCATATGAACCATCCAGCTCGTACAAACATAGGTAGGCTTTTAATATTACATACATTTTTCCGCGTGTTCATGCTGGAGGTAGAAGTTCAGGCACTTTGAACACTCACTTAATAATATAATGAGTGCAGGAGCAAATTTTCCTAAAAAATCCTTCCCCCTCTCAATATGAATACTGTACACACACACATCTATATACAGATGCTGTGTATGCTGTTGTTGTGGTACAGAAACACCAACATTTGGTAACACAGCACACTCAGCTTCAAATCCCACTGTGACAGTCTCATCATTTTTTTTAAAGTTAAAATCCCTTTCCCATGTCCAGGTGGCTCCAGAGAAATAAAGCACTCCAGATAAAAGAGGCTGTCACACACACGTGTGTGCAAAGGTTTTGTGAGTCTCCACTTCACATACATTCACTCTTGAGGGCAGAGCACACCAAAACACCAAGAACAAAGTCATTTACAGAATAAATCACTGGACCTTCTTATCTGTGATGAGTCCATTCTGTGACCGGACATCCAGTTTGAGACGCCTCTGACTGTAGTGGCGGATGAGGGCACCGGGCAGCAGAGCCATGCAGGCGATGGCCAGCAGCTGCAGCAGCCGCTCCCAGGAGAACAAGTCATCAAGCGATGATACCTCAGATAGCATGACGCCTGTCTGGACACAGATGAAGTTGTACGGCAGGAGACCTATGAAAGCAGATCAAAAACAAACTGCAGTGAGTCGCGATATGGAACTTTATTTGCAACACTGAGACAAATACTTCGGTATTCTGGTTTGAATTGATGCACTCTTTAGGGAAAACGACAAAACTATGAATAGATCTTAAGGAACAAATATTAAACAGTAATTGGCATTTAACCTATTATGATAAAACTTTAGAGTGGCTCATGAATACATGACGTACAGTATGAAGAGTGTGGAGAGAGTGTCATCACATCATTTACTGACAGCTCTGACAAGCCGTCAACTACGTGATCCACGTGTGCTTGCTTACCAATGAAGACTGAGCAGAAGAAGAACATGATCGGGATGTTTACAATCGGGGCAGACATGTTCAGAAACCAGTTGGGTGTCATGGGAAAGAATCGTAGGAAGAGCAGAAAGAAGAATAGACAGTCCTGGTTCTCCTCAACCTGGGAGAGAGACATTACATGTTAAACAACGGTCTATGACGGGACAGTAGATTATAGATTATACAATAGATTCTTTTTTGTAATTTCTTTTTTGGCTGATAGTGTTACGTCACATTGTTTCTGGTACTGTAATAACAAAAATCCAGTGTCAAATGACAGTAAATTCTATTACATGCTGTGTAGCTTATCAACAGGTATGTGATAACAATCATCATTTGACTTTGTTATAGTGGAATCAGATTTATTTTGGTGAGTAACACTGCGGCATAACTTTGCCTAACATTACCTTAATTTACCTAAACTGTGATTCAGAGTCAGTACAAAGCATTGTGTCCCGTTGACATAGGTCTCATAGTTACTATGAAATCATGAGATATTTATTATTACACAACACATCCTTAGGGAGGTGATAAAACTTGTGAAGGCTTACACCCATATTGTAAGAGATTTTACAAGAAGAATCATAACAATAGGTTTTCATTGGGACCCTTAGAATGGAGAGTTAGAAAATCTCTTTTCACTCTTTTACTTGAGTTAATTTGTGCATGCAGACCTCTTGGCAGTGTATTTATATGCACTGTCAGCAGTATGCAGATCTTTTTCTCTCTATGTAGAACATCTACACACCTGGAAGAACAGTTAATTGTTGAGATTTAAACTTTGTACATCAGCACTTTACAAATTTGCAAACATAATTCTATAAAACTACTTTTAACATTTTTTGCCTTGAATTAGTTGTTTACACTGTGTCACACATATACCTTCCTCTGTAGCATGGAGACTTTATCAGGGAAGAGGTTCACAATGTAGTGCTTTCCGAAGGCCTGGGACAGGAGGTAGCACATGGTGGAGCCCACAGTGGTGAGCACACAGGCTAGCAGCAGTCCTTGATATGGTCCAAATATAGCTCCTGCAAGAATGTTCTGCACAAAGACAAGTGGAGACCAAAGACCTGAGTTACTACACATCATCAATACGTGTGTCAGCTCTGACACGCAGCCTGTCCAGACCTGGCATTAACATGCATCTCGGGTGATCTGATCACAAGTGGACAGCTCTAAGTACAGGTGTGAATGCACCCAAGCAGCACTGAGGACACATTTGACATCCACAGTCTAATTAGCCCCGCCTCAGTTTCATAATGAACCGAAAATAGTTTTAAACTTCTCATAGTGTTTCCCATACATAGATTTATAGTGGCGGCTATATCAACACTGACAGTCACATATTGATTTTCATTTTATTTTTTACTATTTCAAATGGCTAAAACCTTATTTCACTGCACGCTGCTGTAAACTGCATGTGGCTTGTAGTTTTGGGCTTTTCTCTGTGCTGCACACTCAGCTATGCAGAAAGTATTACAATGAGCGGCCAACAGTCCAGCATGGCTGCCACACAAACAGACATTCCCTTCTTGTTTGCACTAGATGAGTATTTTTATCCTCTGCAGTGTGTCGTCTTTAAAGAAGAAACCAAGCACACACAACATGCAGGCCAAGTCCCTTTTCAGTTTTTCTTAAAGTACGTCTCTCACGAAAGCCTAAATTCTTTTACACCTACCAAGTATGACAGTTTTTAGCAAATTTCAATCCATTTTTCATATTTTTCTATTAAACAATATCCTTGACATCCAGCATCAGTACAAAGAACACCTGAGAATGTTTTTATCTTACCAGGAACGAGGATCCAGGAATGGCAAAGGACTGCTTGTACAGATATGCACTACAGAAGAGTAGCAGGACATATCCAGTGTGCTCTGTCTTGTAAAACTGCAGAAGCTCAGCCAGTTCTCTCAGCTCCTCCAAGTCTGAAGGGAACTTCAGCCTGCAGCAACATCAACACTCAAGTTAGTCACATCATCCATTCATCCATGTACAGAAAGGGTAGGGAAATATGGACAGATGACATTGTAATCAGAAATATCTCAATTTTGACAGCAGCATAACTACAAACAAATATAAAATTGTATATTTCTGTAAAAAGACAGCATTTTGAATTGCACTGTGAATCAAAGCCATATTTATTTAGATCTAATTGTTTATTAGAGATCTAACAATCACTTCTTTAATCAAATAGTGATCAATATAAAATGAATCAGCAATTTATCAGTAATTTTACAATTGATAAATTACAATTAAAAAAAAAGAAAAAAGTAAAATACAAAAAAAATCTCTAGTTCCATGTGACTCTGAACTGTGGGCTTAATGAAATCGCAATGGGCATTTTTCACTATTTCCTTAGAGTTTATTGACTACTTGTTCGTAGCAGCCCTATCTTATTCTATTTACCACGTTACTTATGGTTAAGTCTCAACAAAACAATTGTTAAATCACAATATCACACACCAAGCACAGAGCAATGGTTTCTTTTAATAAGAGCAAAATAATCATAACCAATAAGCATTAGATGGTAAAAATGTAACTGCTAATATTTTGTTGATTTTGCATATTATGATATGTTATCAAGATATTTTGTTCCACAACTGTGTAACATAAAATACAGAATAAATGGGAATATTCAACTACATTGTGACATGCTTAATTATTGCCAAGTTCCCCGATCACTATAACTGGTGTTTTTGGCTGTGGATACAGGTGTGTGAAGGGGAGAGAAGGTGGGATGGGGGTATGCTAGCGACACTAACGTTACAGTAGCATACTATTTAAATACTGGAGCTAGATACATTTATATATATGTCAAACCTAGAGAAATACTTTATCTTCTCCTGCTAACGGCTAACACCAGTCACCTGCTGGCTTCTTCTGAGCTGTCAGGGGGCCGCTCAGACTCTGCTGTGTCCACATGTTCTCTTTCGGCAGCTGGATGAGGACGTCGTCGGGGTGCCGCGGGCAGGTACAGGGACAGTGAGTACAGGTACAAGCTGGCTAACACAACTACAGCGATTAGTCCGACGAGTGAGCGCATATTTCTCACTTTAGTAGCCAGTAAACCACCGACTGTTTCAGCTCCCAGTTGTCACCGAGAGCAACGGAAAGAAACAACGGCTGGCCAACCGCTGCAGCGACGTCACTTCCGCCTATCAACAGACTTTAAGTTATTGTAATACTTGAGTTCAAAAATTGCACATCATTGGTCGACAATTACATGCTACATGAAAATATGTTGTTGTTTTTCTTTGGGTGTTTTTTTTGTTTTGTTCTTACAGATTATTAACAAGAAGGGGAATCAAATAGAGAGAATTGGGTTTTCTGATCGGCTCATGGCCAGGTGAGGGCGGTAATGCTCTGAGTTCTGGGCATGAGAGAGCAGAAGCCAAGAAGACGAAGAAGAAAATCGTTTAGAACCATGCATGGATACATGGAGTGAAAAAGTGTTATAAAGGTGATGTCGTCCTGCCAGCAGGCGTGAAGTTACAAAGTTCAGTCTGCACACCAAAAAGACTTGCGACAACTTGCAGTGCTCGATCGTCGACATCATGGCTCAATATACTCGTGTTTCAGGGTCCGTTGGGTTGATTACTCTCCAAAATCCGCCTGTCAACGCGCTCAGGTGAGCTAACGTCACAGACAAGGCTGTACCGAGTGTTTAAGATCCACGATGTTTGTTTGTGTTGTGGGAAGACAATTTACTAACCCCACATCTTTAGAGGTGCGATAGCCACACTTGCGCAAGAAAAGAGGCACACAAGATAACTTTGTGAGCTCAAGGTAAAAAATATTTTGCCAGAGGATGGCGTCAGAGGAAAGATTTCTGTTAGACAAAACAGCATTGGGCTGTGACCAATTACATTCCTCAAGTCCTGTACTTTTAGTATAATTTGTATTCTACTTAATTATTTGCATTTTATGCTACTTTATACTTCTACACTACATTTCAGAGCGAATACTTTTTACTCCCTACATTGATCTGACAGCTACTGTTACTTTGCAGTAACAGATTTTATTAAAAAAAAAAATCTGTGATGTCCTCATATGATGCATTGTTATAGATTAACGGTATGAAAAGTAGTTAAAATAAGCTTGACTTTGATCCTCTGCTTGCTTACATGGAAATGTATCAGTTATGACATTAATTATAATAATAATAAACTGTTACAATACACTGACACTGGTTCCATTCTGCTGCATTATTTTTGCTGATAATACTTACTAATATTATTACTTTTTATCTACAAAAAGGTTCAATGTGAGACTTTTACTTATAGTTGAATATTTTTCTACTATGCTACTTTTACTTAAGAATCCTTCTGAATCCTTCTTCCGCCTCTGAGCTAAAACAGGTTTATCTTATGTACAGTGGGCTCTTGAGGACATCTCAGACTCAGCTCGTCAAGCTCAGCTTTAGTTGTTACTAAAAAAAAAAATTTAAAAACCTTGCTGAAGGGCACCCCAGTTGTGGTAATGAAGTGGGGGACTTTTCTAACACATTTATTCTGTCTGCTTTTCTATTTAGGCCACTGCTGACCCCTTTTATAGAAACATTTATATATAATGTATGGTATGTTCTAAATAATGCATATCTGATGAAGTTAACATATTTTCTGGTGCGCTTTCAAGGCCTGTATTTAAGATGTATTTATCAAAAGTGATCATTGTGACATGCAAGGGTGGAACCATAGAAAATAAGCAACGGGTAAGAAAAGCTACACAGAAATGACACAATAAAAATTTATAGTGATTCAGATTTTTTTTGAGAAGGACTTAAAAATCTTTCCTCTGAAGGAGGAAGAAGTGCTGCAGCAGAAAGGTCTGTCCCTTAATCCTAGATAATAACAATTTAAAAACCAACACATTAAAAAATCCTAAATTGAGTATATCTGCAGAGGACTGCCCGATTAGTGAAGTTAAGTCTAAACTTATATATATATATATATATATATATATATATATATATATAGATATTATAAACTCACTCACTCATGCAAAACCATGTGTTTTATTTTACACAGTGCAGCGGTGAGGCAGGGCATCGTTGACACGGTGAAGAGAGCACTCGGTGACCCAAAGGTGAAGTCAGTGGTTATCTGTGGCCAGAATGGAATATTCTGTGGGGGTATGAACATTTTTCTTTATTTCCTGAAAGTTCAAAATGCTGACACAACTCCAAATTTGCCATTTTTATTGTTGGTTTTAAATGTGAACTGCTTCAGCACACCCTTAGCAATAAGATTTTAAAAAAATCCTTTGAAATGGAACCACTCCATGACATTCTGGTTGCAAATTATGGGTGCATTTGGTCCCACATCCCACACTGTTACCTTGATGTACAATGGAGTCCCTCTGGTCCTCAACAAGAGAACAAGGGAAAATGGGATTAAAATGCTGCAGGACATTTTCTTTTGACTGCAATTGGTCCACAGAGACACATCAAGAAGGAAAGCATAGATTTTTTTCATAGATTTTAAATTTGTATCATGTTGTGGTGATTTGGGGGATACGCTTGATGCAGAAAGCAGTCATGGAGAGGGGAAATAGAAAAGAACAAGAGAGAATATTACAACATTTGTTAATATAAAATGGAGCTGGAGTTCATCAAAAACACATAAAACTGCTCCATCAAAAGTAAATAATGGCACTAACAGACTCAGATAAATATTCATCAGTAGGTCATGTTTATTAAGTTAGTGCAAGTTCAAGTCTGTGTTATAAAATAAACATGAACTGTTGAAGAAAATTAAAGTGAATCAACACTTGTGCTGCAACTAACAATTATTTTCATCATAGATTAATATGCAGATTATTTTCTTGATTAAGCAATTGATGTTTCTCATACTTAAAAAAAAAAAACTGTTTCCTGAAGCTTAACTTGAGTTGATTAGCCTCACAATTTTAAAACTAAACATATTCATCACATAAGACAAAGAAAAGTAGAAAATATTCATACTTGACAAGCTGAAACCAATGAATGAATGGTATTCTTTCAAGAAAAAAAAGACTGAAATGATTAATTAGTTGATAATTAGTTTTTTGACAGATTTTGTTCAATAAATTGTGTCAGCTCTAATCAGCAGCGTGTGATTTTTAACACCCCAAAACTGGGGATTTTGTGTAATCTCCTTCAAAGACGACATCCAGACGGATATGGAACCAGATGCACCTCACGGCACCACTGATAACATCATCTGTTTCATTTGCATGACAGGGGCCGACATCAAAGAGTTTGGGACGAACATGTCTGGGCCTCCACTGGTACCGATGATACACGCCATCGAGGCTGCAAACAAACCGGTGGTGGCAGCCATAGAGGGAAGTGCTTTAGGCGGAGGCCTTGAGCTCGCACTTGGCTGTCATTATCGAATCGCACACTCCAAAGTTAGTTCACACTTCAGACCTCTGTGTCTCTCTCTGTCAGTGTCTCTCTAATGTCAGTGTCGAGCTGCATCACTGTCTGACTCACACTATTGAATGTTACACAGTGACTTGTCATGGGAAACATGAATTACTACATTTCCAAAGTGATTATTCATTCATTCATTCATTCATAAACACAACTCATGGGGGGTCCAAGGCAAGAAAACCAAAACAATAAAAAGAAATCCACATAACAACAAAACAATAGACATTCCACAATCATCAGGCATTTACATAATTTATTCATTAAAACTATGACCGGTTTATTTTTGTTAGGTCATTTAAGAAAAAAAAAAAAGTAAATAGTCATTATTTTCCCAGAGGTACGATATTCTTGAGATTCTCTAATACTGTGAAGATTTTTTTTTTTCCACCCTTCTAAGCCATAAAATAATCACTGTAATGCGTTTACTTGCCAGAGAGAGCTGTGTTTGTGAATGTCATGGAGACCCACTGTTCACTACCCTCCATTCATCACACTTTGTGCCTTTGTGTCCTTTCAGGCCAGACTGGGACTTCCAGAGGTGAGTCTGGGTCTACTGCCAGCCGCAGGGGGAACCCAGCGTCTGCCAAGGCTCATTGGGGTCCCAGCTGCCTTAGACCTCATCACCACAGGTAGCAAAGACAGGTTAACCTTGTCTACCTTTTATAGAGTTGTTACGAGTTCAGATAGTTTTAATGCACTAAACTAGGTATAGGTCAGCATCAGTAAATATGAAGGAATCACCAAACACAATAGTCTGTTTTTCTTACAGTATTCTGTTTGTCAAGCCCATGTTTTGTGTGTTTAACCTGTGGTTCCAAATGAATGCCGCATGCAAATGTTCCTGCATATTATCATTATGAGAGTCAGTTATTATCATATTGGCAGAGCTGTTGATTAACACGGTACACAAGAGTACAGCTGCTGTTACCGTGACGTTGGTAGTTTAGTGTGGTGACCAGCAGATGTCAGCGTGTGTTCATTTTTCCCCATCACCACTGCCAGTGAAACCTCTTGTGTCATTATATGAAATTTTATTAAATCATAATAAATCAAACAATTCTTCTTTTTTTTGGCATTTTGCCTTAATTCGATAAAGGCAAGAATCAAACAAAGGGAAAGTATATGTCCTAATCACAAAGCCACCAGGACAATGTACTATTGCTTATCCAATAATTTGAAATGTCACATGTCGCCCATATAGACTCTCTTTGTCCTTCATGTCTGCCGTAGGCCGCCATGTCACTGCTGCTGAGGCGCTGCAGCTTGGAGTAGTGGATCGGGTTGCTGAGCACAGCACTGTGGATGCAGCTGTAAAGTTTGCCCTGAGTGTTGCAGGTGAGATACAAAAAAGAAAAAAGACATAAGAGCACAAGGTACCTGCTGGTATAAAATCCCCCCTGTTCTTCACCGGTTTAAAAATTGAAAGAAAAAAAAAACTCAGTAGAAGGAACAGAAATTCCTCCTAGAGCAGTTATTTTAGGCAAGTCCGACCTCAAGAAGTGTCGACGTGTAGGTTTGTAGGAAGTCAAAGGAAGCAGAAAACACGGCAGGCAGATCCTCCACCACAGAAGTCATAAATGTTTCATGGCTCTGTCAGATGTGCTCTGATGTCTTCACTGCTTTTGCTGTATTATTCAGAAGGGCGAAAAGGGACAAACTTTCCTAGAATATTAATAATGGGCCCTCACCAGTCATTTAGGAGGATGAGGATTGCCCCGTGTGTGTGAATCAAACTCATTTACCCGCTGAATGGACTGCTAAAGTGTGCCACATCCCAGCAGTTTACGAGGAATGAGTTCTCAGTCCGTGTAAAGTGTAACCCATTCAGATTTGCTACATGGCGATATTACTGACAGACCACACTAGTATGCTCAGCCTGAAGAATGAGTGAGAAATAAAACAGCTTTTAAGATTTTATGTCTTTTTTTGACACGCTTTTTGTTTATTCTTCAAAACAATTTAACAGCAGCCATATTTACGTGTTATTTTATTGCTGTTTTGAAGTAAATTTATTTATAATTATGCTTATATGTTTTCTCGTTTAGAGTTAGATAAAAAAGGATCATTTTCATGTCTGGTTTCCTGTGCTTCCAGTCTTTATGCTAAGCTAAGCTAATCCTGGTGCCCTGGCATTAGCTTCATATTTAATATACAGATGTGAGAGTGGTATCGATCTTCTCATCTAAGCCTCAGCAAGAAAGAGTATAAGTCTATTTCCCAAAATGTCAAACTAATCCTTTAAGCATTTAAGAATGGTGTTGTGAACCAGTGCACAAACCACCCACTCTGATGTGTGGTTTTGTGTATTATCTCTCTCCATGAGGCACATGAGGGGAGGTTGTGTTTTGTTCAGCTTTGCCTAAGCAGAGCCCTGTTTGTACAAGAGCCTTTGATTCTCCTGCATGAAATGAAGATGAGATGTTTTCATGACTGCAGGTAGTGAGTTACTTGCTTTGGAGATGTCATCTTAAACTATTTGTTGTCAGCTTACTCTGCAATGACGGCTCATTTCCAAGATATTAAAATTAATAGGAAGCCTGTTACTTTGTGCCTAGTAATATTGTGCCTTTCGCAAATATTCTTACTACATCCGTGCAAAATGTCAACAGCAAGACTCGAGGATTGTGTGTAAGAAAAAAAAATAAAAAAAATTTTACAATCAGAAGATGATTGCAGTCTTACGCCTTTTAGAAATGCTTTTTTTTCACACAACATTGCCAAGATGACTTTGAGTGGGTGAGAAAGTGAGTGTTGTTAGTAAAGCTGAGGCTTAGAGTGAGTCAGACAGAAAAGCCAGCAGCACACAAGATGGGAGATTTGGGGAGATCGAATCAAAATCTGCGAAGATTTTGACGGATACGCCAGTCTCGAGTTGATTAGCAGGGGTATTAAATGGGGACAGAAAATGTGTGTCTAAATTTACAAATCAAGTGTAAGTGTTTGTGACATGGAGATGCACGGCTGATGAGTCAACCAGCACAGAATAGATTTAGTCTGTCACATCCATGAATGCAAACATAAGACACTACAGTGCTATAGTACAGTAAAGCTGACACATGGGTATATATTTATACACAAAAAAAAAAAAAAAAAAAAAAAAAAAAAAAAAGCAGTCCGTGCACTAAAATTGATGCGCGTCTGTCCTCAAGCACACACACACGCATAGATTCAAGTCTCTCGCTGGTGACAAGATTAACTTTTTTACCCCAGTAGTCGCAACATCTGCCCGCTACATCTGTCAGGACAACCAGGCTTCCCACTCGCTGCACAACAAATCCACAGCTCAACCATTTACAGATTAACTGCTGCAATAATGCCCTCCTAAAGTACATTGGATTCACATTGCACCGCCACACAGTATCTGATTGACCTTTCACTCTGGACAGAGTGTACATTTAACTGGCCTGAAATGACCTTCACCTTTCATTGTTCATCTCTCATATATTGATCCTGACAATTGTATTAGACCAAACTGTTTATTGTTTGACAAAGTGGATACCATAAATCAGATGTGGCTGCTGTCTCTTTAAGCTTTACCATGGTGACCCAGTTTCTGGCCCAGACCCACGGCTGAGTGTAATTCAGTGGAGCTGTGAAGGATTCTGACTACTGTCTCATGTAATCATGTCAGAGGAGACAGGAATGGGAATTAAGATGCTTTTTAACAAGGTTTTAGTAGAGTGGCCTTCTTCTTCATTCTCATTGTTCCCAAGCTTAAATCACAGCAGACAGGAAGTCTATTGCTATAAAGTTTTTTGCCTATAATATTAAACTTCTCATGTAGTTTCACCTGGAAAATTGCTCCAGTATTGTACCATTGCTCACAGGCTCACAGAGAATCACAAAAATTCAATTTCCTCCGCCTTGGTTCCTAGAGTTGGAAATTTACCAACTATTTTGCCCGGAAGGAAATAGTTGCTTTCCATTTTGTTTCAGATTGGTCATATTCAAGGTGGACAGTAACAGTGCACTGCCAGGGTCCCTCCAATTAGTTTGGAAATGGTCTGTCAAATCACTCTGCTCTTAGAAGCTACTGGGGTATCTAGTGATTGAGTGGACGAGTGTTCCTGAAACAGTAATTAAACCCAGACTGAGTGCCGGCTGACAAATTGGAGAAGGTGGGGGGAAAAAAAAGCGGTACCGATGGAAAAACCAGGAGGCATTTCACTGTTTAAAAAACAAAATCATGCAGGCATACATTTTGATTTGCTTTAAACTTTTAACTGGCACCAAAAGTGACAGAACTACAAGAAAAAAAGTCATTCCTCTGGTGTCTCTTTTCTTCCATGTTTCTATTTCAGCAAAATCACTGGATGCCCGTCGTATAAGCACCTATCCGTGTCCACGTCCGTCTGATTTTGATGCTCTGTTTGAGGGGGCGATGCAGAAGGTGCGACAAAGTGCCCGTGGAGCCATAGCACCAGTGGCGTGTGTCCAGGCGGTCCGAGCAGCTGCCACCCGGCCGTACCTTCAGGGCATGGAGCGGGAGAAAGAGCTGATGGCCACTCTCTTCACCTCAGGCCAGGCCCGCGCCCTGCAGTACTGTTTCTTTGCTCAGAGAGCTGTCAGCAAGTGGAACATGCCCAATGGAGCCCGCTGGGACACAAGCAAGCCTAGGCCTGTACATAAAGCAGCTGTCATTGGTAAGAGCTTTGGGCTTTTAATTTCTAGATGTCTGAGCTTTGAATAAGCACAAGCAAGTTGACTCATCAAGCTATCTGTGTGGCATCTCCACATTCACGTTGCCTATGGAAACTAAGCCCTCATGTACAGTTCAGCTGAATTTAAATGGATGAATTCTCTCTTCCCTGCAGGGAGGATTGGATGTATGACAATCTGGATATGTGAAGCTCAGCAGCTTGTGCATTAAAAATTGCAAGCTTTGGAAAAACTTTATGCTGCCAGGCCAGAACTATTTACAGTCTAGCATTGTTAATTTTTCTGTAGTCACCGTGTGATTTTTGTCCTCTAAGGTCTTGGCACCATGGGGAGAGGCATAGCAGTGGCCCTGGCTCAGACGGGGATGTCTGTGGTCGCCGTGGAGACCCAGGAGAAGCAGCTCATGGAGGCAAAGCAGGCAGTGTCAGGCATGTTGGAGCGAGGGGCTAAGAGACGTGGGCTGACCCCCGCCGCACTTCATAAGATCAGTTACAGCCACGACATTCAGGCTGTAGCAGACGTTGACCTGGTGATCGAGGCCGTGTTTGAGGACATGGCTCTGAAGAAGAAAGTCTTCCAGCAGCTGTCGGCTGTTTGTAAACCAGGCACTTTCCTGTGCACCAACACTTCCGCGCTAGACGTCGACCACCTGGCCTCTCAAACTCGCAACCCGGAGCTGGTGGTCGGGATGCACTTTTTTGCCCCGGCCCATGTCATGAAGCTGTTGGAGGTGGTGTATGGACCACAGTCCTCTCCTCAAGCCGTGGCCACCGCCATGCAACTGGGAAAGAAAATGGGCAAAGTCAGCGTGGCTGTTGGAAACTGCCGGGGCTTTGTGGGTAACCGCATGCTGAAGCCATACATCGAGCAAGCTTTCTTCCTGTTAGAAGAGGGAGCCACGCCTGAGTTAGTAGATCGAGCACTGGAGGAGTTTGGGTTTCCCATGGGTGTGTTCAGAATGTCCGACCTCTCTGGGCTCGATGTTGGCTGGAGGGTCAGGAAGGGGGATGGGCTGGTGGAGTCTGGTTCAGCATCAGGGCAGCCAACCAGGCTCCGAGAAGGTCGGCGTTACAGCCCCCTGGGAGACCTGCTCTGTGAGCAAGGACGGTTTGGTCAGAAAACAGGCCGGGGATGGTACCAGTACGACAAACCTGGCAGTCGGGTTGCCAGGTCTGATCCTTGGTTTCACAGCTTTCTGGAGGAGTACCGAGCACGGCATGGCCTGGTGGCACGCCGCATCGACCACCAGGAGGTGCTGGAGCGCTGCCTCTATGTCCTGATCAATGAGGGCTTCCGCATCTTGGAGGATGGAATAGCTGCAGGACCCGAAGACATAGATATCATCTACGTGTTTGGCTACGGCTGGCCCAGGCACCGTGGAGGCCCCATGTTCTACGCTGGCATGGTGGGGCTGGCGACGGTCCTGGAGAGGCTGGAGCACTACCGCCAGGCGCACCCTGATGTGCCCTACCTGCAGCCCTGCAGCCTGCTCAGGAGGCTGGTGGCCAGTGGCAGCCCACCTGTCCACAGGTGGAGGGAAGTCATTAAGAAACTCCACAGCCAGCTTTAAATGCTATACATTTCAGCTTTAATATCTCAATACACTTGAATAATGTGTAAGCTGTGATAAACACAATGGACTACACTTGCATTGTGTTTTTCACAACAATAGTAATAATAATACTGATTGATTTCTTCTTTCTCATGCAGGAGGCATTTGTGCTTTCTGTGATTAATAATCTTAATAAATCTGACTGGCCAGCAGCCTTCATGAGCCCACACTACTGACTTACCAGTTTATTAAGTACATGTGTACAATCCTTTAAAAATCCTATCTTTGTGAAGCTTGTGGAGTTTTTGTTGACGCTGTATCAGAAATGTGGATTCAACAAACAATATATATCATAATTTGAAAAGAATCTACTGTGATACAATGAATGACCGTCTTGTTTGAGTCTAATCTGTAATAACAGATTTCTATTAAGTTTTTTCGTAATGATCCGGACTTTAAAGAATCACACTCAGAAAAGCAACATTTGCTTAGAAAAGTAATGATTTTACTGATTTTCCTACATTAGGCTTTTGCTTATTAATTATTCATGTATAATAAATTTTGGTACATTTTTTACTTTATGTACAATATGTGATAATATAAATCTCATCTATCATCAATGCCTCAATAAAGAATGTATTAATGTATTAATTTTATCTATTTTTTGGCTTGTTATTGTTTTTTTATTACTCTTATCATTCTGACCCCAAGTTCAGTGAACTGCTGGATTTCAGTTCATTAGTTTCATCAGTGAAAGATTGAGTGAAGGAAAAATGTTCTTCCTGTGGTGTGTGTCTGTGGTTTCTGTTTTCTGCTGACTCAGCTGCAGCGGTGACAGAGGAGAGCTGAGGCACACACACACACACACACACACACACACACACACACACACAACGACTCTCAACTACTTTTATATAAATCAATGGCTCACTCCCGAGTCAATCTCACGCCCGGCAGTGAGCAGATGTTTGGGCTGCCACCTAGCGGCTGAAGGCTCCAGACTGAGCAGCTGGATTAAACTGCAACATAGAAGTGTGCTTCATTTCTGCCTGCAACTAGCCTACATCATTTCTTAAATATGTCATTGTTTCAGTGAAAGGTTAGTGCCAGACCAAAATATGATTTTAAAAAATCTTTTAAAACTATAGATTATTACTAAAATGCTATAATTTGAATATTATCAGAAAATTGCCAGTGGGCGAATACGTTGGGGGTTAATCGGAGGATGTATTCATTTCGGATCCAGACCCCGGTGTTTTGAAGTTTTTTAGAGGGACTGATGAAAGCCTGGGTGTGTGTTTGAAGTGCGCAGAGCAGCTGGCTTTGTGTTCGTGGACTCCTCCCGTTGTGTGATGAAGTTCAGATGCGCGCCGTTGTTCCGTACGCGCGTCACCAGCGCACACAGAGGAGCTTTCCCGACGCGAGGGGAGGATGGAGAGATGTGTGGATCACGACCACGGGAGGCTGTGAATCTGACATTACACCTCGCCAACTGACGCTCTTCCTCGTATGAGCACTAACCCAGCTGCTGCTCTGGACACACAGACCCAGCACCGTCTCTCTCTCTCTCTCTCTCTCTCTCTCTCTCTCGTCCGTCTTCCAGCTGAAAAGCTTCCTGGGCTACGTGGACCGGAAAACCTCGGCTCAGTCCCTCACGGTTATGTTGTAGTTTACTCGGACGAGGCTGTGTGCGTTTCGTGAGGTTTTTTTTTTTTTTTTTTGATCCAGGAAATGTTGGCATGGCCGCCTCGGGAGCACAGAAGTGTCCGAAGAGTGAGAAGTTGGACGAGGCGCAGGCTTTGGCCAAGAGCTGCGCGGGGAGACCAGACTTCCTGCCTTGTGATGGACTCTCCATCTGCGCTACGCACAGCCACGGGAAGTGTTTCAAGCTGCACTGGTGCTGCCACTTGGGCTGGTGTCACTGTAAGTTTGTGTTACATTGTTTAATAGCTCTCTGTTTTACCAGAAATCTATCACACTGTCTCTATAATGGCAAAATAAACGGGATATTTGGTGCTCACGGCCATGTTATGAATGCAGTAGCATTAATTCACTATTAGATCACACTCGTACTGTGTATCGACTGAAAGAAAGAGGAGAATGTGGCAGATTCTGATAAGCTGTTACAAAAGGTTTAATGTGAGTCATTATGAGAGGTTATGTAAAGGTTGGCTGAGTCCTCAGACGCGCTCAAGGGGAACATTTGCTGCTCCAGTGGTGTTATTTAATTTTCCCTAAAAACTTTAAAACACATTTTACAGTATTGTTTCTATTCATCGCAACAATATCGAAGTCAAACTTCATAGTTATATGTGTCATATATATATAGTCTATTCTTAACCACAGTCACATCTTCATACAGACCCCCTCATATGAATAGATTATGTGGTCTAAACAATGGAGGCTAAAAAACTGAGCAGGGATATGAATGTTTCAGGTCATGGTTCATGTGTTTGGCACTATTTATCTGGTTTTGTTTCTACTTTCGGTACATAAAGTTTAGGGCAGGCCTTGAGCATTTAAATCAGTACAGTCCTCTAGTGATCGTATTGTGCATCTGTAGGTGTTAGTCTTAATGATAGACTATGTTGCATAAATTATTGTATTTATATTGAGTTTAGATATTGTTTTTGTAACTAATTCGGATTTAAAGACATATAGAATAACTAAAATAGTCTGATATTCCTGTGTCTTTCAGTTCACTTTGTATTGAACTCCAAGTAGGAATGGGGCTTGTAGCCTTTATCCATTCCTGGTTATAATCTGTCTGTTTTACATCTTATTAAGACCTGGTCCTTCAAAAGAGAGTCAACACACATCGTGTCAGTTGTCAATGCGAGAGCACAGGTGTATATTTTCCAAAAAAACATCAAAAGAAGTGCGCACCCTCACGCACGCACCCAAAAAAAAAAAAAAAACCTGTCAACCTTCCTTTACTTCACCATTACTGAAAATACTTCATGACTTACATTTTGACATCACACACTTGAATCATCACTTTCATTTCTGCTTTTAAAGTCTTGTGATGTTCTGTATTTTCCTTAGTGTCAACAAATCCCATGTAAAGACAAAAAAACCCAACAATGCACTGATACCAATGACAAGTAAAGTGCTGTCCCTGTAGCTAAGGCCTGGTCCAGCTTATTCTTCTGTGCCACAGACCTTCATTGTTGTTCAGAAACCATAAAGAAACACATCATTCCTTCATTACGATGAACATGGGCACACAGTTTGTTCAACCCCACAGATGTCCTTTGTAAACACTCACAAGGGCACCAAATGTGTATTAATCCACAGCTGAAAATAGTCCCTGCTATTTATTCCTCTATTAGTGACATTTACCGATGAAACTAAATATGTGTGACTCAAAAGTAAAGACTTAGATCCTCAGTAGGAATGAATGGGCTTTGGGCTACAGACAGCACTGTGATGCCAGAAATGAAGATGAACTAACATACACTATTTTTTGTGTATGTTTTGTTTATTTTTTCCATAGGATTTATTGACATGGAGAGTGTGAAATGTGAAATAACACCAGCATTGTCCTTTAAAGTAGATTTTCTACTTTTGGCCACAATAACTTGACATGTTTAGATGATGTCAAGCAGCCAAAAATGACGAAGTCAGTCGGTCACAGGCCACATTTGCGGCAATATTAACTGAACTCTATAGTATTATAGAAATAGCATTTATATTGCCTATTAAATTGCCTGTACTGGTAGAGCACAGGGCTGCAGCTCCACTTAAACATGGACAATTTCCTTTGCACTTGACACAGAAGTGTCAGTGGCAATTTCAACACCCGTGTACCTCGGACATTTTCTCTCCATTTGAACCTTTCTCGACCTGACACTTTGACACCACCACAGAATCCCAATAGCTGTGCTCGAACCTGACAGGATGTCCGTTTATTTGTGCTGCCCTACGTTACCCCCATCGCCGGCTGCCCTGAAAATCCTCAGATCAGTGTAAAACACAATCGCCATCCACTCTGCACCAGTCAGTCGGGGCTTATAGTGTGCAACTGCAGAAGTCACATTGTAATCTTTGCCATGTAATCATTGGATTTAGATGCCCGCCTTCGTTCAGAACGAGCCAAGTGATTTGAAACATTTAATGTGGCAGAAAAATGATGAATTCTGTCCAGTGTTTATTATGAGCCACATCCGGGATTTGTGATTCTCGGCAAAGTCTGCTCAGTGTTACATCATTTGTAAACATTTAGACTTGCTCCTCCTCTCCGCTTTGAATTATTCATGGGTCCTACTGAAAAGGTGCTGTGCAATGAACATGGAGACCTGTGTACCCATTATATAATTCAGGCTCGTTTTCCTATAGAAGAAAGAGACAGCAACATCACTATGGGGCCTCTCACCTTCACATCTCTTTCCACTGTAATTCACAGATCTCCCTTGCATGCGCCACAGTGAGCGTAAACCAGCTCAGACTGCTGAATCAGGCAGAACCAGGACACCCAGAGAGAAAAGTATAGCAGCGTGCTTCTGAATGCAATGCCCGCCTGCTCTGCTGCTCGGCTCACACCCTTCTTTCTAGAGATGCATAATAACGCTGGATTCAAAACAGTGACATGTTGTTACGCCCTTATATCGTCCGCTTTTTCATTTTGAATATTCCTATGACTGTCGCCTAGAGAATAAACATGTTCTGAAGCTGATCATTGTGCATTCACCACAGGGAGCCCTGCTACTCTGCCTTTTTAATTACATTTTTTAAATAGGTTTCCAGGGAGACAAATACAAAAGGTCATTGGGCTCAGAATTGAAATTCTCAAAAACAATTTTTTTCTGTTTCCTTACCTGTAGAACAGTATGGAGCAATTAAATACCCATGACTTAATTCCTAGCTTGCAAACTGTACAGCTTCAGAATGCCGGTTTCTATTCTCAGAGTTCACCAAAAGTGAAAAAAAACAAAAACAAAAAAAAACCCCATCAATCTTGTTGCTTTGATTCTTTCCAGCAATTACTACTTAGTTGTAGCTTTGTTGAAAACTTTGGCTGAGAAAATGGGGAAAACTGGAATTGAATGTAGGAGGAGGCAATGTTCCCAGCTGGTGACAACATCAGTCCAAGCCTCTCATTAGTGGTAATTAGCTGTGTTTAGTGTCACCGCCAATATGTCATGTCTGATGAGAGTTTTTGCTCACAGCAGCACTCCAACCACCTGGTCTGAATGTTGTTTTTTTTTTTGTTTTTTTTTGCTGTCTCTTCATCCTCTACTAACTGATTACAATTACCAGACAGAGCAATGAATTACTCATTAAGGAAATCCAACAAAGTCTAATGACTCCTGAGCAGTCTTGTCAGCCTGTTCGTAGTCTGTCAGCTCTAATTCTGTATGTTCGAACTTGTACTTCTGTTGTAGATACGAGAAAGTAGGATCTGCCTGTCAGACTTCCTCTGCAGTCTCATCTGTCACACCTTGCAGCTGGAGCTTGCAAATCTTTCTAAAGGGAAATATGGAGGCTTATTGGATAAAGCTCTGACCTTTTATTGATTGATTCGGGGACCAACTGAAAATTTACTGCAGCGCTGAATCATAAAAAGCTTCACCTATTATTAAAGGATCAATATATTGTCAGCACAGGCCTGAGGGGATGTTTTTTGATCGATTGTTCGTGTTTGTGAGCCGCAGCGCTTCGACCAATTTAACTGCTGCTCTGTCAGTGTTGGAAGCAGAGCATCACCAAAACAAAAGTTCAACAAGTCTGTTCTTATATTTTAAAGGATAGCTTTTTTCATGTTTCCGTAATGTAATACCACGTTCCCTGTTTGTGTTACTATCCCCTCATCACGGCTCAGCGAGGGAACACAGAGGATGAGGAATTTGGTTCTAAAAAGACTGTAATTTAATAATATACTCACTTGATTTTGCTCACTCAAACAGCTGAAGCCACATATTAGCTCTGAGCTGAACTATAGAGCGCATATTTTCACAGAACAAGGTCACTTTGACAAAGAAATCAAGTTTGAATGAATGACAACTATCATGCAATTATACATAACCCACGTCGCTGAATTGTTGTTTTGTTCGTTCATGACAAGCTAACAGGTGACTGCAGATCTGTTGCTGTGGTAATGTGGATTGAAAAGGTAGTGGACAGCCTCGCCTTTCATCCACTGTTTTTCCTATGTATGGTCCTGAATCCAAATGCTACTTCTGCGATGGTTTGTTGTCATAATTATACGCTCAGAGCTGTTGGCTAGCTTCCTCCGTTATGCATTTAACAAAGAGACTGAACAATTTTCCTAGAAGACATTTTGACATGTGACAGTAGGAAAAGCACATGTGTAGAGGATGAAATTAATGATGGCTGAATTCTATTCAGCTGCTTCAGTGTCAGGGTCCTGGTATTCTGCATGCTCGTTCACTGTCATGATTTAATGGGCACACTTGAATAGACCAGAGCCATTGTTTGTGTTATTGGTAACATTTGCTTTTCTATATAACAAGCAAAGCGTCTACTGTGAAAAAACCTGTTACCTAATTAACTGATACTGTAGGTCAATAAAGCATCAACAGTTCACCGTAGCTGGAGTACATGGCACTGTCTGTTGCTTAAAACAAATTTTTTGTTTTTGTTTTTTTCTACGGTCAAACAGCTGATGGAGGACTGTGGACTTTGTCCATCATCTTTTACAATGTAATGCATTAGGAAGGGATCATTTCATAGCCAGTATTGGCAGAGGAAATGATTACAGTGACCACCAACTCTTCAACAGTACATAGGATAGGATATGTAGGATAGACCTGATGAAAAATATTTCCTCTAAATGTGCTATATGTAAGGATTTGCTATTGCTATATAGCCAAGGTTGGGATTAAACAGCATCAAACTTCATTCCTTAACTCGCCAAGAGCTTTCTCCAGCAGTGGAAAGCACTGTCATTGTTAACACTTGTA